GCCTCGGGCGTCAGAGCGTAGGCCTTTAAAATGGCAGTCTTGACCAAACTATAGTTATTTTGAACGTCGTGAGAGAGTGCCTGGTATGTTTTTGCAGCTTTCCCAGTAAGGACAGAGCTCAATAAAGCAGTAATGGAAGTTTCGGGCCATTCACATGTCTTCGCTAAACTCTCAAACGAGTTAAAGAAAACGACCAAATCTGTTTCATCAAATTTCGGAACTAATTTCCCAAATTTGGCAATCACTTGCCCTACCGACAACTTTTTTGGATCTACCTGAGAAGTGACATCACTAACTTGACCAAACTCTAATTCCAACCTCCTCTTATCTAAAGCAATTTTAGCCTCTAACTCCTGTCTCTCTAGAGCACTTTTAGTTTCAAACTCCTTTTCTTTTAATAGAAGCTCCCTCTCTTCTATAGATTTCTCCTCGCGGAGCAACACACTAGCTAACAAACTTTCGTCAAATACTCCTTCATTAATGAAATGAACAACAATTTTATCTCTCAACACCTCTGACTTCTGCGTAACAGAATAATCCAATTTCAATTCCTTAACAACACTAACCAAAACTTTTCTACTCAGCTTTTCTACATCTTCAACAGTAGGATTAGCCAAAAACGACTCCATAACACTAACTTTCAAATCACAACAAGCTTAGGTTCACTAACTTAACACGGTGAGTTGGGCCGTGTACTTGACCTCTAAATGTAGGACGTGACACGTCTGCTTATTTGACCTAGATACTCTAGCCTGAGCGCGCGTTGTAAAAACACTGCGCTACTGGATAAAAAAACAACTAGACCAGACTAAACTTAGTATTCAACTGATATGACCAACAACTGGAACGACAGATTAAATCTCGGCGAGCTCCCACTTTGTAACGTTAACCTTTCTATCAGCCAAATAGAAGGAGAACGTCCCCGGATTCTTTTTTCGGGGTCATATGCAAATGCCTTACGGCCTAAGTGGATGAACACTTAACACAACGACACACTAGGGCTCGAATCAATGTCTAGGGGAGCTAGTGATACTATTGTAATTAATACTCATCCAATCTACATACGACCTTTTAATCAGCGAACTCAGTTGAGGCAGAACACGAAGATGAACTAGATAAAATATTTAATGTATAAAATATCAAAAACCCAACTTACAAAATGCAGGAAATAACACTATCACAGATTTCTACACTGTCTAAAAAACAGCCACTGGCCACACAACACTGCTGTAGTTTCTAGAATTACTTCGCGACAAGTAATATTAAACTAGAAGACTAAATCAACTGAAGAAAGCAAGGCACACACAGGTCTTAAGTACTCTCACGTTCAAATGGTCAGAGTCTATAGCCGGACAATATGGACGGCTGCCTGAACAAGGTAAAACGGCCTCGTAGACTGCCAGGTCAAGAAAAACTGCCTCGTGTTGCGAGTGTGCAGTGCAATTAAAGACTTCTGTGACAGGGGAGGTTATCCTCAACTCATGTCGCCATTGGTTGGGATAATCATCTGATCAGAATCATTCAATCAGATTTTAATGGAAAATTTCTATGTCTCAAACACCTTAATAAGTCAGTGGAAAAACCCCAGGTGTTACACCATCATTCCATATAAGGAATTATACAATGTCAAAATAAAAATGACTCGACCTAAGTAGGTCACACCCTTTCCGGGGACAAACTTTCAAACTTTCGATTTGCACCCCCCCCCCCAAATGTTCGATTTGCACCCCCCCCCCCCTCAAGTTTTTCTCTATTTATTTTGCTCTTTTTTGCCTTGGTGTCACCCCCCTAAATGGTGTCACCCGGTGCGGTCCGCACCACTCGCCCCCCCCCCCCCCTCGCTACGCATCTGGCAAAGCCCATGGTTGTTAAATTCGAAAAAGTCTCGAGTTCAAACCCTCTGGCACATAAGGCTCGATCCCTCCCAACACTAAAATTTAAGTACGAAGAAGATAAATATGCTGTATAATAATGTAATGTTGCGTTTTTTGCTTAATGTTGGGTAGATAACGTAGATAAAGTGGAACACAGCTTGAATTAGATCAACAGTCTCTACCCAACCCAGGGTACTTATTTGTTGCGGAGTTGCGGTTTGTTTCAAGGACAATATTTTGATTCCACTGACCTTTTTTTTAAGCAAGGGGCGCTACTTGAATAATTCTTCTGCGTAGGACGAACATAATTTGTTCCCTTAGAAATTAAACACACTAAAGTGGTTAGAAATTCAAAATATAGGCTTGTATTAAGAAGTATGAGGCCTTTTGGTTCAACATTCAGAGAAAAATGTTGGCGAAGAACTTAGATCGATATTACGTTTTTAATTTTTACAATTTTAGTTTTGACGTATTTCCTTTTATTATTTGTTTCACTTTGACTTTACTGATTATTCTCTACGAGCCGACCCGCTGCGTATCATACGCCGCTATTTAGTTGTTTTTTTTCTACATTTCAGTAATTTATAATTTGTGAATTCAACAGTACCAATGCTGCCATTGAAAATATTTGCTTAAAAACACTACCCCCCCCCCCCCCCCACGTGAAAGCAGCCTCCTCTTAGTTACCTCCTCTAAGTTTAAAATCGTTTCAAACTCAATTATCTGCCCCTAATAGCCGTCACCAAACCCGTCTCTATGATTGTAAAATGTAAACAGAGTGAACACCGCTCACCAGATCATGTGGGGGTGGGGTGGTAGTGATAGTGAGGAAGAGAGGAAGAGAGGGGACTGCAAAGGCGCGCTTGCAGCTTGTTTTCTAACTGATCCCAGAAGAGAATTATATAGACCTCTATATAGAGTCCTTGCAAACACGTGACCTAAATCACGTGATACCTACGCCCGCCGCCACAGTGGTGTACATCAGACGTAAACACAATCAGCTGTTCGCCAGCGCTGGACGTGTTCACCAGCGCTGGACGTGTTCACCGTATGTAAAGAATCGCGACCGCGGAAAAGGAAAAATACGTTAAAAAACTTGAACTCTTAGGAATTGAAGATCCTTATACAGTTATTGACAGTTTCGTGGATAATATAAATATGTGGCCGAAATTTCTAAATAAAAATACTGTTAATAATACCGTTTGCGTTTAGAGTTTAAGTAGACGAATCTGATCAAATGCAGTAATATATTAGAGGTTATCTACTGTAGCAAACGTGAGACCACTTAACTCCTACAAAACCCACACTACAACGGCTAATATAATCCATGGGTAATAACCAATCTGGGTAGCATGTTATACAATTTAAGACCCTTATAATCCAGCAGGGAAGTGATCAGACACATTAATACTGACGTTCAACCCTCACGATGGCTGCCCCCACCTGTATCTAGCCCACAATAAAACCAAAGAGGAGTCTGCCCTGCCCTCCCCTGAAAATGTCTCACCTCCGTGATACCCAGCCCCACAGAGATAGTATTTCTTATATAATTTTGACCCTCAGGGCCCAGCAGGGAGAACAAAAGGGAAAGTCCCACTGCTCTCCCCTCAACGCTTCTCACCTCGGTGTCATGTTATGTCATTTATAGCACACACGGCTTATCAGGGGAAAGCATTAAGGCATTAAGAATCTTAACTCTGGACAGCTACACACTAGTATACTAGCTACACACTAGGTGCCTACTGTAAACTACTAGACTGTAGGCCCTATGTAGACCTGCACTTGTATCAATTGTAGACTGGGTCCATTGTTATTATTCTAAACCATCTCACTTATAACGTTTCTAGCTTGATTTGTTTCTTTTATAAACAGTGGATTTAAAAAAAAAATTAGCCTAATCATTAACCAAATAATAATAATGTGGTTATTTGTTGTTGGCTGGTATGATCTAGATTGTACTACTAGGCTACAAAAACTTAGTAGACCAATTACTAGATATGAATTTGAATTTAATTAAACTCAGTCCAGTATCAGATACATATTGCTGTAAAAAGACAACAAAGTAGTTAGGCCTTAGTAATTTATTAAAGCCTTCTACTACAATAATATCAACTACATGCTTGTATAAAGTTTTTACAATTTAATTTAAGTAGCGGATTCTAGATCTAAGTCTAGTCATATAATCTATTTCAATTTCAGAAAATTTCGTTTGCTAAAAAAATGATTAGATAATACTAATAGAGCGAGATTTTAGATCTTAGAGACAATTAAATGCTTTATTAGGCCTATTATGACTACTTTTGATTTATTATGGGTGTATTTTGAATCGAATGTAGATCTAAAGTAATTAAATTTAAGTAAAGAAGTAGATTCTAGATTCTATGTCTACCCAGCGGAGCCAGGTATTAGGCCTACTATTAGATCTTATTATTCTTATTAGCCTATTACTTTTGACTTTGTCTTTTACTATATATTAGTATTTGTGAAGGTCGAGCATATTTGTTTTATTAATTATTAATATTTATCTTTTATAATTAAAATGAAGTTTATTATTTTACTGTCCTTACCTGAAACAAAGTATCGAGAACTGCATTTGATCAGATTCGGCTACTTTAACTCTAAACGCAAACAGTATTACTAACAGTATTTTTATTTAGAAATTTTGTCCACATATTTATTTATACGAAACTGTCAATAACAGTATAAGGATCTTCAATTCCTAAGAGTTCAAGTTTTTTAACGTATTTTTCCTTTTCCGCGGGTGCGGTTCTTTACATACAGTGAACGCGTCCAGCGCTGGTGAACACGTCCAGCGCTGGCGAACAGCTGATTGTGTTTACGTCTGATGTACACCACTGTGGCGGCGGGCGTAGGTATCACGAACGGACGTGACGTCATATGAAAGGACTCTATAGATGTTGATAGCAAGCTCACAGTTATACAACAAAAGATCTGGAAGATAATTTCAAGTTTTATCATTAAATATTGTAAAAAAAAAATTAAAAGAATAAAAGATCGGTCTGGCAATTTTCAACATTAAAAAAATAAAAATTTTGTGTTCTTACAGTTAGCCTGCAATTTTTTTTTTTTTACTAATTCTAGATCTTTGTTTTTATACCAACCAAGGGCAGATAATTACAAAGCAGAATCTCAATTCGATAGGCCTAGCTGCAGAATACTAGAAAGTCTAGATCTAGAAATCCAGATTCTAGAGATCAGCTTAGATAGAGCTAACATCTTGTCTTCAGTATACCAGTTGCTCCAGCCTACTTAAATAAATAAATATGCCATTTCAGAGAAAAAACATTGTGTAGGCTAATTTACTAAAAAAAACGCTTCAGCTTTAGATTTTAGTCACTTTCAGTTTAACACAAGTGACGAATACTTTTATTCACCGTCATGTCGATTCAGTTGCGAGCTCAAAAAAACCAGATGCTGGTTCTAGCAGGGACTTCCCACCCTGAGCTAGCACAAATGGTGGCGAGGTGAGAAATCAGATAATAAATAGTCTAAATCTATTTCTTTGTTGTTTAATTGAATTTCAGTCTGTTGTCTGGCAGAAGACTGGACCAGAGCGAGAAGGTATTCGAGAGGCCCATTAAATTAATAAATTTTAAAATCATGCACGGCGTAGTTAGATCTACAATTAATATAAATATATTAATATGTTTATAAAATCCTGTCTGTCTGGTTTTTTCGGATTATTAAAGATTGGATGTATCTAGACCTTTTTGATGTTTTTAATATTTTCAGTAGGCCTAACTAAAAAAATTTAAAAAAAGCAAAAACAATTTGGTTTTCACTTGTAATGGCGACATAAACAATAGCATCCTGCTATTTGATAGGCTGCCATAAATTTTATTGTGCACATTGTAAGCGAAACAAAAATGGAAAACTAGGTCATGGGGTTTAAATTTGCATTGTTATTTAAAAACTTTATCTGCAAAATTTTGTAAACAAATAATTATCGATCACTGAGTTACTGTACAACCAAACAATATTTGTCTTATGAAAGTGAAACATCCGGTTATAACATAGGCTTGATGAAAATAAATAGAAATGTAGCCTTAAACTCAACAAATTATTTTCAAGTTCTCTGGATTTGCAACTTTTTTAGCATTTATTCTAAAAATATAAAATTTCTAAATTAATTTTAGGGTCAAGTTTCTATTTTTTTATTATTTTTACGGTCTAAATCTAAAAAAGCATGTTTCTATTCCAAGTCAACAACATGATGGAAGGATTCTCGTCAACTCACTCGCCTACATAATACAATTACAATGGCTTAAAAAATATTAAGGCGTGGGTTGTTTTTTTTTTGGACAAACTTTGCTGATCTAGCTGAATTTCATTGATTGATTGATAGTGATGCAATTATGTTGTCGGGCACTGAGTGACTGACTCAGTATCTCCTGTAATATTTTTAAAATTATGATTTTACAATAGTGTCAGATTTCTAATTTTAATAGCTTAACCGTAACCTTTTGAACCCTAAGCTCCTGAACCTAAAATCCCCATGCCCCTAAGTTAAATGTACACACAACCGACTAGCAATAAAAAAAAATTCTATTAATGTAACAACAGGATTAATTTTATTATTTCAATTAGGGATTTAAACATTAATTATCGCCAATATTTCAACTTAGTAATCCAGTCTTCTGTGTATGTAGACCCTTCTCTTAGACATACGTAGATGTAGACATAGGTAGAATGCCTTGTTTGAAAATCATCTTTTCATCATACATTGTAAATGATAAACATAACATAAAATTTGGTTCATGTGCGCAGCCATGACAGGAACTTACCATGACTCATACGTCACCAGTTACGTTACTTTTTAATATAGCAATTTTATGTATGGACTGTTGATCTGGGGTAAGGTGTCTAATACCACTTTCTCTCGGGGCATGGAGATTTAAGATTCAGACAGATACAGCAGGTTCAAAGGGTTAACTATAGTTGTATGTTTTAAAAATGGAGTATTAGCTTCAGCCTACTTGAATACGTGTTTTCAAATGTTTTTGCAGCAAACTTGGAGTTCACCTTGGGGAAATTACAGTATTTCACAAGCAAAACAGAGGTATCTTTCATCAAGTTCAATAACTATATTGCATCAGATTGGCTTAGCTAGTATTGCATTGAAAATCTTACAATAGAAACTGTTTAAAAGGGGGTAGCCATTGGTTGTGGTGCCTGACATCAGAGCTCTTTAGTTCAATTCTAATTATGGCACAAAACATGTTAATTAGCTGTTAGCTTGCTAATGAGTTGTTAGCCTGCCTTTTTGTGACTAGCCATGTTGTTTATAAGAAGTCGCTTGCGTCCAACTGTAGCAGTAAAAAATTACAAAGACACTCACATCATTCATTCATGGAAGTTCTTGTAGGATTTTGACACCATTAAAATTGATTAAAACATTAATAGTGGATTTCATTAAAAAATGTTTGTGTTTTTTTCCCCTTCACTCTTCCATTGGTTAGTGCTAATGATGTTTTTCCCTTTAAGTTGTTATTACAGTGTTTTTTTGTTTTCTTCCTTTCAAGAGACGAATGTGGAGATCAAAGAATCAGTGCGAGGGAAAGATGTTTACATCATTCAGACAGGCACCAAGTGAGGATGTTTTCTTTGATATGCAACCAATCAAAGTTTAATGTTTCTTGTCTGTATCAAGTACATCACCAATGAAATTTTACTGTTTGTAAATTTGATGGAAATGTTTCAGGGATACCAACAATGATATGATGGAGCTTATGATCATAGCATATGCTTGCCGGACCAGCGCGGCCAGTAACATTATTGGAGTAATTCCTTACTTACCTTATTCCAAGCAAAGCAAGATGAGAAAAAGGGGATGTATTGTGGGAAAGCTGATTGCCTCCATGTTGGGGAAAGCTGGTAAGTTGATCTCTCAATTGATTAACTCTACATGTTTAAACTCTTCACTCAGCAGTTTCTGACCTTCCACAGGGTTCATGTTTAAACTCTTCACTCAGCAGTTTCTGACCTTCCACAGGATTCATGTTTAAACTCTTCACTCAGCAGTTTCTGACCTTCCACAGGGTTCATGTTTAAACTCTTCACTCAGCAGTTTCTGACCTTCCACAGGGTTCACTCATTTGATTACCTTGGACCTCCACCAGAAAGAGATTCAAGGATTTTTTAGCTTCCCTGTTGATAATCTCAGAGCCTCAGCCTTCTTGATTGATTACATACAAACTTCAGTGGGTAACATTTTCTTCTTGATTGATTACATACAAACTTCAGTGGGTAACATTTTCTTCTTGATTGATTACATACAAACTTCAGTGGGTAACATTTTCTTCTTGATTGATTACATACAAACTTCAGTGGGTAACATTTTCTTCTTGATTGATTACATACAAACTTCAGTGGGTAACATTTTCTTCTTGATTGATTACATACAAACTTCAGTGGGTAACATTTTGTTTAGCAAATGTGTTACATACAAACTTCAGTGGGTAACATTTTGTTCAGCAAATGTATTACATACAAACTTCAGTGGGTAACATTTTGTTCAGCAATTGTATTACATACAAACTTCAGTGGGTAACATTTTGTTCAGCAAATGTATTACATACAAACTTCAGTGGGTAACATTTTGTTCAGCAATTGTATTACATACAAACTTCAGTGGGTAACATTTTGTTCTGTATTACATACAAACTTCAGTGGGTAACATTTTGTTCTGTATTACATACAAACTTCAGTGGGTAACATTTTGTTCAGCAATTGTATTACATACAAACTTCAGTGGGTAACATTTTGTTCAGCAAATGTATTACATACAAACTTCAGTGGGTAACATTTTGTTCTGTATTACATACAAACTTCAGTGGGTAACATTTTGTTCAGCAAATGTATTACATACAAACTTCAGTGGGTAACATTTTCTTCTGTATTACATACAAACTTCAGTGGGTAACATTTTCTTCTGTATTACATACAAACTTCAGTGGGTAACATTTTGTTCTTGATTGATTACATACAAACTTCAGTGGGTAACATTTTCTTCTGGATTGATTACATACAAACTTCAGTGGGTAACATTTTGTTCTGTATTACATACAAACTTCAGTGGGTAACATTTTCTTCTGTATTACATACAAACTTCAGTGGGTAACATTTTGTTCTGTATTACATACAAACTTCAGTGGGTAACATTTTCTTCTGTATTACATACAAACTTCAGTGGGTAACATTTTGTTCAGCAAATGTATTACATACAAACTTCAGTGGGTAACATTTTCTTCTGTATTACATACAAACTTCAGTGGGTAACATTTTCTTCTGTATTACATACAAACTTCAGTGGGTAACATTTTGTTCTTGATTGATTACATACAAACTTCAGTGGGTAACATTTTCTTCTGGATTGATTACATACAAACTTCAGTGGGTAACATTTTGTTCTGTATTACATACAAACTTCAGTGGGTAACATTTTCTTCTGTATTACATACAAACTTCAGTGGGTAACATTTTGTTCTGTATTACATACAAACTTCAGTGGGTAACATTTTCTTCTGTATTACATACAAACTTCAGTGGGTAACATTTTGTTCTGTATTACATACAAACTTCAGTGGGTAACATTTTCTTCTGTATTACATACAAACTTCAGTGGGTAACATTTTGTTCTTGATTGATTACATACAAACTTCAGTGGGTAACATTTTGTTCAGCAAATGTTACATACAAACTTCAGTGGGTAACATTTTGTTCAGCAATTGTATTACATACAAACTTCAGTGGGTAACATTTTGTTCTGTATTACATACAAACTTCAGTGGGTAACATTTTGTTCAGCAATTGTATTACATACAAACTTGAGTAGATTTAGTTGAGCAATGAAAACAATGTCTTAGTGCTTGTGTAAACTGCTGAGAAAAAAATTATACTTTACATTGTCTCTTATAAGAGAAACAAACAAAAATATATGAGTGTATAAGAGCGCATAGGTTAAATCTGATCCAAGCTAATAGAATCATTGTTGACTTGCTTGTAGGTTAAATCTGATCCAAGCTAATGGAATCATTGTTGACTTGCTTGTAGGTTAAATCTGATCCAAGCTAATGGAATCATTGTTGACTTGCTTGTAGGTTAAATCTGATCCAAGCTAATGGAATCATTGTTGACTTGCTTGTAGGTTAAATCTGATCCAAGCTAATGGAATCATTGTTGACTTGCTTGTAGGTTAAATCTGATCCAAGCTAATGGAATCATTGTTGACTTGCTTGTAGGTTAAATCTGATCCAAGCTAATGGAATCATTGTTGACTTGCTTGTAGGTTAAATCTGATCCAAGCTAATGGAATCATTGTTGACTTGCTTGTAGGTTAAACCTGATCCAAGCTAATGGAATCATTGTTGACTTGCTTGTAGGTTAAATCTGATCCAAGCTAATAGAATCATTGTTGACTTGCTTGTAGGTTAAATCTGATCCAAGCTAATGGAATCATTGTTGACTTGCTTGCAGCTCCCTGACTATAGGAACGCTGTGATTGTTGCCAGAAATCCAAACTCTGTTAAAAGGGCAACATCTTATGCAGAGCGCTTGCGACTTGGCATTGCTGTCATCCACGGTGAGGAAAGGATGTCAGAGTATGAGGGGGATGATGGGAGGACATCACCTCCACTACTTGACCCCCCTGTCAAGGATGCATTTGGTCTAGAACTGCTACCACGTAAGTTTTATCTGGTCAAGGGTTGCTATCACATATTTGGTCTAGGGTTGCTACCACATATTATCTGGTCTAGGGTTGCTACCACATATTATCTGGTCTAGGGTTGCTACCACATATTATCTGGTCTAGGGTTGCTACCACATATTATCTGGTCTAGGGTTGCTACCACATATTATCTGGTCTAGGGTTGCTACCACATATTATCTGGTCTAGGGTTGCTACCACATATTATCTGGTCTAGGGTTGCTACCACATATTATCTGGTCTAGGGTTGCTACCACATATTATCTGGTCTAGGGTTGCTACCACATATTATCTGGTCTAGGGTTGCTACCACATATTATCTGGTCTAGGGTTGCTACCACATATTATCTGGTCTAGGGTTGCTACCACATATTATCTGGTCTAGGGTTGCTACCACCTGAGTATTGTCTTGTGTACTACCTCTGTATAAAATATTTCTATTTGTACAGCTGTTTCTTAAAACAGTTTATTAATGCTGCATGTAGGAGGTAGCTGTTTCTTAAAACAGTTTATTAATGCTGCATGTAGGAGGTAGCTGTTTCTTAAAACAGTTTATTAATGCTGCATGTAGGAGGTAGCTGTTTCTTAAAACAGTTTATTAATGCTGCATGTAGGAGGTAGCTGTTTCTTAAAACAGTTTATTAATGCTGCATGTAGGAGGTAGCTGTTTCTTAAAACAGTTTATTAATGCTGCATGTAGGAGGTAGCTGTTTCTTAAAACAGTTTATTAATACTGCATGTAGGAGGTAGCTGTTTCTTAAAACAGTTTATTAATACTGCATGTAGGAGGTAGCTGTTTCTTAAAACAGTTTATTAATGCTGCATGTAGGAGGTAGCTGTTTCTTAAAACAGTTTATTAATGCTGCATGTAGGAGGTAGCTGTTTCTTAAAACAGTTTATTAATGCTGCATGTAGGAGGTAGCTGTTTTTTAAAACAGTTTATTAATGCTGCATGTAGGAGGTAGCTGTTTTTTAAAACAGTTTATTAATGCTGCATGTAGGAGGTACTTAAAACAGTTTATTAATGCTGCATGTAGGAGGTAGCTGTTTTAAAACAGTTTATTAATGCTGCATGTAGGAGGTAGCTGTTTTAAAACAGTTTATTAATGCTGCATGTAGGAGGTAGCTGTTTTAAAACAGTTTATTAATGCTGCATGTAGGAGGTAGCTGTTTCTTAAAACAGTTTATTAATGCTGCATGTAGGAGGTAGCTGTTTTAAAACAGTTTATTAATGCTGCATGTAGGAGGTAGCTGTTTTAAAACAGTTTATTAATGCTGCATGTAGGAGGTAGCTATTTCTTAAAACAGTTTATTAATGCTGCATGTAGGAGGTAGCTGTTTCTTAAAACAGTTTATTAATGCTGCATGTAGGAGGTAGCTGTTTTAAAACAGTTTATTAATGCTGCATGTAGGAGGTAGCTGTTTCTTAAAACAGTTTATTAATGCTGCATGTAGGAGGTAGCTGTTTCTTAAAACAGTTTATTAATGCTGCATGTAGGAGGTAGCTGTTTTAAAACAGTTTATTAATGCTGCATGTAGGAGGTAGCTGTTTTAAAACAGTTTATTAATGCTGCATGTAGGAGGTAGCTATTTCTTAAAACAGTTTATTAATGCTGCATGTAGGAGGTAGCTGTTTCTTAAAACAGTTTATTAATGCTGCATGTAGAAGGTAGCTATCTCTGACTGATATTTTTTTATGCAGAGGTTGCTGCTAAAGAAAAGCCGCCCTTTAATGTTGTGGGTGATGTTGGAGGAAGGATCGCCATCATTGTTGTAAGGTTTTTTTTTTCATCTTTTTTCGTTGTAACCAGCCATGTTATGTGGACTCAATGTCATAGGAAAAAATACCAATTCAGTTGATAGATTCAGGATATTCTGATGGATATGTTTCCAAGACTAAGTGTATAATTTTCCAATCCCAGGATGATATGATTGATGACGTGATTGCGTTTGTAAAGGTGGCTGAGGTGCTAAAAGAGCGTGGGGCCTACAAGGTCCTGGTTGTTGCCACCCATGGGATCTTGTCATCAGATGCTCCCAGACTTATTGAGGATTCCAGCATTGACGAGGTTTGGAGAGTATTTTAATCAGTGCCACCAAATGTATGTATCCTACATATCTGTTACGTTGCAGATGGTTGTGATATAGTTTAACCCTGCTCAGGCCCATGCGCCGGCAGTCGCTCAAGAATTTGTGTGTGTGGTACAGTCCGGCGCACTCACGGTAGCCGTACTATGTATTGTATGCTTATTTACACATAGTAGCGGAAGTCTCGTTGGTAACGAGATTTTGAAGATACCGGCGGAAGCGTGAAATAAAGTTTTGTTTACATTGTTTTCTCATTGCTCTATCACTAGAGGTTCATTTTCTAGGATTTTTCTAAAGTTAAGAATTTTTTCCCTCAAAATTACAGTCAATGTAATTAGTGAAATTAAATCTAATTAAAATGCCTCTATCGTTGAATTGGGCCTTATTCATTATAATGTAATTATTCAAAAAGAAAGCAGCTCCAGTGGGTTGAATTATTTTTTTTGCCATTTAAAATAATTTTTTTATAGAAATAATATTAGAAGTAGTGTTTTGTTTACGTTTTTCTGGGATTTCTGTTAGTTTAACTAGCTATTAGTAAACTACTAAGCTATTTAACCTCATGCATATTAAAATTCGGCCAGTTTTGTGTATAATGCTTTTTATTTATAACGTAAGTGGTTATTTTTTTTAAAAAGTTCAGTGGTTGAAAATGCGTTTTCTTTTCGCCTGGCAGTAGACAAGGTAAAATAGTTCTGATGCCCTGGACGGTAAAGGGTTAAATGGATGGTTGTGACCTAGTTAAAATGTTGCAGGTTGTTGTGACCTAGTTTAAATGTTATAGGTGGTTGTGACCTAGTTTAAATGTTATAGGTGGTTGTGACCTAGTTTAAATATTGCAGGTTGTTGTGACCAACACCATCCCACATGAGGTCCAGAAGATGCAGTGTCACAAGATCAAGACAGTGGACATTAGCGTCCTCCTGTGTGAGGCAATCAGACGCATCCACAACAACGAGTCCATGTCCTACTTGTTTAGGAACGTTGGGGTTGATGACTAGGGTTGTTGGGGGTTGAGTTAATGACTGGGGGGGGGGGGTTGATGACTAGAGATTGTTGGGGAGGGAGAACTTAACTTTGTGTGTGTTAAACTGGAATGCAAATAAAATTTGGATGTTGATGGTCAGTCAAAAGTTAAACCAAATTTTTTTTAAAATTTAGCTTGTTGTGACAATAAAAGACCTGTTAAACATGGGCAGTATTGTACTGATCTGACGACCTTATCAACAGATTTGTTTTGGAATGGAATAAAACTTTTTTTTTAAACATTTGGAACTGTGTTGCATTGTGATTGAGTTGTGTACCTGAGTGACTTGTCACCTGGGTGACTTGTCACCTGGGTGACTTGTCACCTGAGTGACTTGTCACCTGAAGGAAGTGTTGGCCTTTTGAGCAACAAAACTAAAGAAAAATGGTTATGGTTTATAAAGCCGTCTTCTGAAAACAATTGTGTTGGGGTTTACACAGTCCACTGAAAATAATTTTCCACCAAAACTACCATGATTTTGAGTGATTTACATAAGTGCCCTCGAAAGTGGGGAAAAAATTGATTACTTATAAGAGCAATGCTATTCCAATTACTCCTGAATGATGTCAGTAGGTATTGATGCTGATTTTTTAAACAAATTGTGCTTATAGGGAACTAAAGGCAGCTGGACAAAAGGCTGACCGCACCTTCCCTTCATAAGCCGAGATCAAGAAACATGAACTCTTGACTCTAATTTTGAAATATTTATACATGTACTTTATTTTTTAAGCTAAAAAATTAGGAATGTTATTTATGGCACTTTTTTCGGTTGGTGTATTTGTAATTTACTTTAATTATCCGAGTGAATGTGTATTAATAGCTGAGGGTAGATTGAAATTTCCTGTTATATTAGGCCAAAGTGTTACTGTATGTAAAGTGTTACAAAATTAAACACACATTAGTTTATGTTAAACTGAATGTTGGGAGTCTGTTCATTTGAGCTAAGGGGCGTAACTTTATTGGTATATTTGGGAAGTGATGAGATCAATTTACTGCCGATTGTGGTGAGAAATGACGGGGAAGTGTGTTGGAAGGTTGACAACAACCTGTAAATTACTCTGGGTCATTTCCCATCCTCACCCCATTAATTATCCTACATGCACACCCCTGCCCCAACAGTTGCAGTAGGACCTCACCCCCAATCAACTACTCACCTGCCATAGTAGGACCTCACCCCCAATTAATTACTCACGTAGGACCTCACCCCCAATTAATTACTCGCCCGCCATAGTAGGACCTCACCCCCAATCAATTACTCACCCGCCATAGTAGGACCTCACCCCCAATCAACTAGTTAGGGGTTGTGTTTATGTGGTTATTTTAGGTGTAGAAGTGTGGGGAAGGGAGAAGTTTTGAGGTTGTGTGGAGGGTTGGTCTCTTGTTTATATTTATGGTTGTGGTTAGAGTAGTTGATGACTAATAATCACACAATTTACTGTCCTTAACAGATGTTCTTCACAAAAGCTAGCCTGGCTGGGATGGCTACTAGGCCATAAACATGTAAACTAAATAACATTTTTATTTCACTGATTAGAATGGTAAACAGAGACTGTAGACATGTAAACTAAATAACAGTTTTATTTGACTGATTAGAATGGTAAACAGAGACTGTAGACATGTAAACTAAATAACATTTTTATTTGACTGATCAGACTGGCAAACAGGCTGTAGACATGTAAACTACAAGTTCTCACATTTTTATTTGACTGATCAGACTGGCAAACAGGCTGTAGACATGTAAACTACAAGTTCTCACATTTTTATTTGACTGATCAGACTGGCACACAGAGACTGTAGACATGTAAACAGCCGTGTCTGCTGCCCGTGACCAAACTGTTGCCAGACACACCCACACAGCTGGTGATGCCAGACTTTGTCTGGGCCAGGACCTTCCCACTACTGGCGGCCCACACACACACGGAACCTCTGTCACTTACTGCGCCAATCAGACCTTTTTCTTTCTTGCTGACCTCAAGCCTGAGGGGTTAAACAAAGGTCATTTGAGGTCAAAGTGTAAAGTTGGAACTAGAATTCTCTGACCATCCCGCCCACTTCCCTCTCTGCAATTGGCTGGCTTAGAAAGTTTACAAGCCACTATTTTGTCTACAGCTGTGGCTGAACAAGTGCTGCCATGCCAGTTGCTTGACTGGGCCTTGAGAATACAAACAAAAACCTGGGTCTCCCACCCCAACAAAATTCTTTTCCTACTATCTAACCCTACAGACACACCCCCTACAGAGACACACCCCCTACAGAGACACCCCCTACAGAGACACACCCTACAGAGACACACCCCCTACAGAGACACACCCTACAGAGACACACCCTACAGAGACACACCCCCTACAGAGACACACACCCTACAGAGACACACCCCCTACAGAGACACACCCCCTACAGACACACACCCCCTACAGACACACACCCCCTACAGAGACACACCCTACAGAGACACACACCCTACAGAGACACACCCTACAGAGACACACCCCCTACAGAGACACACCCCCTACAGAGACACACCCCCTACAGAGACACACCCCCTACAGACACACACCCCCTACAGAGACACCCCCTACAGAGACACCCCCTACAGAGACACACCCCCTACAGAGACACACACCCTACAGAGACACCCCCTACAGAGACACACACCCTACAGAGACACCCCCTACAGAGACACACCCCCTACAGAGACACACCCCCTACAGAGACACACCCCCTACAGAGACACACCCTACAGAGACACCCCCTACAGAGACACCCCCTACAGATACACACCCTACAGAGACACACCCCCTACAGAGACACACCCCCTACAGAGACACCCCCTACAGAGACACACCCCCTACAGAGACACACCCTACAGAGACACACCCCCTACAGAGACACACCCCCCCTACAGAGACACACACCTTACAGAGACACACCCCCTACAGACACACACCCTACAAAGACACATCCCCTATAGAGACACCCCCCCCCCCCACACAAAGACATGTTGACCTACCTTCTCCAGGAGCTGGGGGTGGGGTACTCCATGAGTGGCACAGCTTGTGAGGTGACTGGGTTGACAGCAACAATTCCTCCAGCCTCCTCCCCATCTTTACTCCAGACTACAGTCAGCACAAGCAGCCCCTGCAGATAGCCAGATACTTGTTTACACACATACAAGATAGCCAGATACTTGTTTACACACATACAAGATAACCAGATACTTGTTTAGACACATACAAGATAGCCAGATACTTGTTTACACACATACAAGATAGCCAGATACTTGTTTACACACATACAAGATAGCCAGATACTTGTTTACACACCTACAAGATAGCCAGATACTTGTTTACACACATACAAGATAGCCAGATACTTGTTTACACACCTACAAGATAGCCAGATACTTGTTTACACATACAAGATAACCAGATACTTGTTTACACACATACAAGATAACCAGATACTTGTTTACACACCTACAAGATAACCAGATACTTGTTTACACACATACAAGATAGCCAGATACTTGTTTATTATAATCAGTAGATCTAGATACATTGATTGTATTCTTGTTAGAAAATATAGCTTCATACAGCATTACATTTTTCAATCAACAGTCTATTTTTTACTGGAAGCAATTTGTGAAAGTATTTTTTCTCAACTTGTATAATAAAAAGTGTGTTTCTATACATGAATATGTCATTAATTTTATTTAAATTTAAATCTTTAAAAAAGTGGATAACAAATTTTGGAAAAAAAAGAACATTTTTCTCAACATTAATTTTAATTTAAACATTGTGCAGATACTCAACCTACAAAAATAAAATTTAAAAAATGATATACAAGCATGTTTTGTAAATAGTGAGTTTTAGTAGAATACTAGACTACTCATTATTCTTAAATAACTGTGTGTCATCCATAAATGACGTCATGTTTATTTGATGATTTTTATCTTTTCCCTACCCTCCCTACAGTTGCTTATTAAAAAAAAACAGACCCCACATTCATAAAGACGTCACACCTCAGACGTTTTTGTCTTTTAAAAAACACCTATTTCAGCTAAGCATGGGTCTGACAACACTACCCCTTCTTATCCTGAGGTCACAAAAACAGGTCAACTCTACAGTGTCCCGCCAACTCAGACATGTTTTTGTCTTTTAAAACACTGATTTTGGGTCTGACCACACTATCCCTTCATATGCTGACATCACAGGTGAAGTCTACACCTGCCCAACTCTACTTCACCTGTCCAGTGTCCCACCAAGTCTCAGGCAACATGCTTTTATCTTTTAAAAACACAGATTTCGGCAGGGCATGGGTCTGACCACATTATCCCTTCATATGCTGAGGACACAGAAACAGGTGAATATTTCACTAGCCCCGCGTCCCGCCAAGTCACGATAGGCAACTTTATCGTTAACATCTAAAAAAAATAAACGAAAAAAAAATGTATCATTGGCGCGATGGATCTTGAACCCGTACCATCCACATGGTAACTATTACACTATCATCTCAGCTATCTCGGTGCAGAATTAGTGGGATACTTTACTTAGATCTAGAGTCAGCTTAAGAAACTTGAGTTATGCGAATAGGCCCTATTATTTCAAATTAAATTTTATCCCAAATTAGCCAATTCCATAGCAAAACAGAGATTTATATACAATACTTAAGGCCTGAAATAGTTTAGTATAGCAACTCATTATTGGCATAGATTCTAGAGCTAGAGCTAAAATTACAGCTGGCTCAAGTCTAGTTTTTCCATAGCTCTAGAAACTAGATAGATAAATCCCTTGTATTCTCAAATTAGATGATCCTTGAAGCTAAAAGCAAAGATTTAAATCAAATATTTAAGGACTAAAATAGTTTAATAAAGAAACTCATAATTTATTGTGTTTTTATAATTGTTTTTATTTTTAACTAATTAATTTTGGTTTGATGTAGATTCTAGATTTATAATTCGTTTAACTTTTGAATAGGCAACATGATAGCTGCCATGTTTGTTGTAAAAAGTAAATAAATCATGTGACTTCACTATAAATAAAGTCATTGTTCTGAACTTTTCTAATTTAAGTGGTTTCCACCAATGAATATATCAATAAGTTAATTAACGTCTTTAATACTTTAAATAAATTTGTGATTAACAGTTTGGTAAAAAAGAACATTATTCTCTACCTAAACACGTATTTTACAGCTCTACACATAGTGCAGATTCTCTCCTGTAACCAAACACAAACAAAAAAAAAAAATAATATCCAAACTTGTAAACCAACTTGAGTAGTATATAGATGAGAGTATGCCATGGGCTAGAACTCTAGTACTTACATAGCTGGCCTTGGCAGCAACAAGCCCAGACAAACAAGGCACTGAGTGGGGCAGCTGTATGCTCTTCAACACAGCTCCAATGGTCGTGTTCCTAATGGAGAGGAATCATGGACATTTACCACACTGATCAACTCACCATATACAAATGTTCTAGAACTCACCACACAAATGTTCTAGAACTCACCATATACAAATGTTCTGTAACTCACCACACAAATGTTCTAGAACTCACCATATACAAATGTTCTAGAACTCACCACACAAATGTTCTGTAACTCACCATATACAAATGTTCTGTAACTCACCATATACAAATGTTCTAGAACTCACCACACAAATGTTCTGTAACTCACCACACAAATGTTCTGTAACTCACCACACAAATGTTCTAGAACTCACCACACAAATGTTCTAGAACTCACCATATACAAATGTTCTAGAACTCACCACATACAAATGTTCTAGAACTCACCATATACAAATGTTCTGTAACTCACCACATACAAATGTTCTAGAACTCACCACACAAATGTTCTAGAACTCACCATATACAAATGTTCTGTAACTCACCATATACAAATGTTCTAGAACTCACCACACAAATGTTCTGTAACTCACCACACAAATGTTCTGTAACTCACCACACAAATGTTCTAGAACTCACCACACTAATGTTCTAGAACTCACCATATACAAATGTTCTAGAACTCAACACACAAATGTTCTAGAACTCACCACATACAAATGTTCTAGAACTCACCACATACAAATGTTCTGTAACTCACCACACAAATGTTCTGTAACTCACCATATACAAATGTTCTAGAACTCACCACACAAATGTTCTGTAACTCACCACATACAAATGTTCTAGAACTCACCACACAAATGTTCTGTAACTCACCATATACAAATGTTCTAGAACTCACCACACAAATGTTCTGTAACTCACCACATACAAATGTTCTAGAACTCACCACACAAATGTTCTAGAACTCACCACATACAAATGTTCTGTAACTCACCACACAAATGTTCTAGAACTCACCACACAAATGTTCTAGAACTCACCACATACAAATGTTCTAGAACTCACCATATACAAATGTTCTAGAACTCACCACATACAAATGTTCTGTAACTCACCACACAAATGTTCTAGAACTCACCACATACAAATGTTCTAGAACTCACCACATACAAATGTTCTAGAACTCACCATATACAAATGTTCTAGAACTCACCACACAAATGTTCTAGAACTCACCATATACAAATGTTCTAGAACTCACCACATACAAATGTTCTGTAACTCACCACATACAAATGTTCTAGAACTCACCACATACAAATGTTCTAGAACTCACCACATACAAATGTTCTAGAACTCACCATATACAAATGTTCTAGAACTCACCACACAAATGTTCTAGAACTCACCACATACAAATGTTCTGTAACTCACCACACAAATGTTCTAGAACTCACCACACAAATGTTCTAGAACTCACCATATACAAATGTTCTAGAACTCACCATATACAAATGTTCTAGAACTAACCATATACAAATGTTCTAGAACTCACCACATACAAATGTTCTGTAACTCACCACATACAAATGTTCTAGAACTCACCACACAAATGTTCTGTAACTCACCACATACAAATGTTCTAGAACTCACTACACAAATGTTCTGTAACTCACCACATACAAATGTTCTAGAACTCACCACATACAAATGTTCTGTAACTCACCACATACAAATGTTCTAGAACTCACCACATACAAATGTTCTAGAACTCACCACATACAAATGTTCTGTAACTCACCATATACAAATGTTCTGGTTGGCTGAGAGAGCCAGCCCTGCAGATTTGATCCCCTCTACTACAACGAGTGAAACAAGTCGCCCACGTTGTTTCCCAAAGAGAGAGACAGCCAGAACCTGGGAGTGGTCAGCTGCCAAGTCCACCCTCCCCACAAGATGGGAAGCCTCGCTGGTCACTCCAAGCAACAGGAGAGTGGTCGACATGACACAGAGTTCAACATGCTCAGGTGATCTGCTGGGGGTAACAACATTTGACAGGTGATCTGCTGGGGGTAACAACATTTGACAGGTGATCTGCTGGGGGTAACAACATTTGACAGGTGATCTGCTGGGGGTAACAACATTTGACAGGTGATCTGCTGGGGGTAACAACATTTGACAGGTGATCTGCTGGGGGTAACAACATTTGACAGGTGATCTGCTGGGGGTGACAACATTTGATCTGCTGGGGGTAACAACATTTGACAGGTGATCTGCTGGGGGTAACAACATTTGACAGGTGATCTGCTGGGGGTAACAACATTTGACAGGTGATCTGCTGGGGGTAACAACATTTGACAGGTGATCTGCTGGGGGTAACAACATTTGACAGGTGATCTGCTGGGGGTAACAACATTTGACAGGTGATCTGCTGGGGGTAACAACATTTGACAGGTGATCTGCTGGGGGTAACAACATTTGACAGGTGATCTGCTGGGGGTGACAACATTTGATCTGCTGGGGGTAACAACATTTGACAGGTGATCTGCTGGGGGTAACATTTGACATGTTCATAATACTTAACTTAAAGTCACCTTTTATGTGTTGTGGAAATTCACATAAAGTTGTAGAAGATGATGTAGCATAAAAAAAGAGTAATAGCAAATAAATGTATCATATTTTAAATGTGTATTAACAAATGAAATGATCACATTTATAAAGTGTGTTAACAAATAAAAGAATCAATTAAAATATGTCTCCACAAATGAAGGTATTACCTTAATTGTGTGCTGAAGTCAAGTAATGGAATGTGGAAGCGTTGGGTGTCCTCAGTGCTGAAGTCATAGGTAAAGAGACAGGTGAGCAGCTGGTTCCTCTCCCAACCACTGGCCACAAGTGCCAGTCTCTCTGCTGCAGGTAACAAGTGGGCTTGCACTAACTGGATCTCCTGAAGTTGGTCAACACATCATTGCAACTAAAGACACAACTCTTCAAACTTTAAGATAATGACTGACCAAAAGGAAGAGATAATGACTGACCAAAAGGAAGAGATAATGACTGACCAAAAGGAAGAGATAATGACTGACCAAAAGGAAGAGATAATGACTGACCAAAAGGAAGACATAATGACTGACCAAAAGGAAGAGATAATGACTGACCAAAAGGAAGACATAATGACTGACCAAAAGGAAGAGATAATGACTGACCAAAAGGAAGAGATAATGACTGACCAAAAGGAAGAGATAATGACTGACCAAAAGGAAGAGATAATGACTGACCAAAAGGAAGAGATAATGACTGACCAAAAGGAAGACATAATGACTGACCAAAAGGAAGAGATAATGACTGACCAAAAGGAAGACATAATGACTGACCAAAAGGAAGAGATAATGACTGACCAAAAGGAAGACATAATGACTGACCAAAAGGAAGAGATAATGACTGAGCAAGCAGGTCAGAAGCTGACCATCTGGTAAGAAGACTCACATGAGAAAGCCTCCAGTCCAGTTCCACTGACCAGCCCACGTCAGTGTCCTGTGTCCACACTGTCAGTGCCGCTGCCTGGACACTGACTAGAAAATCTTTCCTCTCTCCACCCTGGCAGGTCACATGGCCACAGAGCAGACTGATGATTGGTTCTTGTGAACCTGACTGAGAGAGTTCACAACAAATATGGCCACTAAAACAATAACTACAGAGCAACTTTGTTCTTCCAAAACTATCTAATCTAAAAAAACACAATATCCAATTTTATTTTTCACTAGGAATCCTGACCTGGCGCAGGATGATGCAATACTTTAAAAAGATTACATCCATGCATTACCAACTGTATTTTCTGACATGTAATCTTGTTGGCGCAGGATGATGCAATACTTTAAAAAGATTACATCCATGCATTACCAACTGTATTTTCTGACATGTAATCTTGTTGGCGCAGGATGATGCAATACTTTAAAAAGATTACATCCATGCATTACCAACTGTATTTTCTGACATGTAATCTTGTTGGCGCAGGATGATGCAATACTTTAAAAAGATTATATCCATGCATTACCAACTGTATTTTCAGACAAGTGATCTTGTTTTCTAAAATGAGTTATTTAAAAGGGCTATATTTCTTGGATCTGAGTTGTTATGCCGCAGTTTGTCCACACTACTATTGTTCTGTTTAAAATAAATGCAGCCACCTTAGGGCTCGCAGGGGATGCTTGGACGCCAAATGACACCCTACTGGGGCCCTGCCCCTTCGAAGTTTAATTTTTACTCGCAGAAACAACTTCCCAAAGGCTGAGAAATGCATAGAAGGCAAACACACAGCCAGACATACTTTCATTTTTATATGCATAAACCAAGTTAATAGTTTTTGCAAAATAATCTAAGATGGTTAATTCCTCTGAGCCCTCAGGTGGGGGTGCCTTTTTTAGCCCTTAGGGGCAGAAATTTTTTGGAACAAACCTTTCCAAGGGCATTCTCAACAACACCTTAAAATATAACAGTAAAGGGCATACTTTCTCTTTTATAACTAGTTTTCAATTTAAATGAGACTACATGACTATATTTGTACCTGAAAGCATCCAGAGAATTTGAGAAGCCCCTCGCCTGCAGACAGAGAATTAAATGACCTTGACCTTGGCATTCTTCTGGTGGGCGTGTAAACAACAGGAAGTTGCTGGGGCAAGCTGTCTTCCAACACCTGCACTGGTGTGCTGGGGGTTTTGGGGGCTTTTCTCCATGGCCCAACCCCAGGGCCCAGTGATGGCCCAACCCTAGAGCCCAGTGATGGCCCAACCCCATGGCCCAGTGATGGCCCAACCCCATGGCCCAGTGATGGCCCAACCCCAGGGTCCAGTGATGGCCCAACCCCAGGGTCCAGTGATGGCCCAACCCCAGGGTCCAGTGATGGCCCAACCCCATGGCCCAGTGATGGCCCAACCCCATGGCCCAGTGACGGCTCCTTTAACACTGAGCTGCCATGTGCTGCAGACAAGTAACTTTCATCAGTGTAAAAGGTTTCTGACATACTGGAGACTCTTAAGTCTCTGTCTGTCTCTCCTAGATGTGACATATTGTGGGCTCTCAACTCCTGGTCTGTCTCTCCTAGATGTGACATATTGTGGGCTCTCAACTCCTGGTCTGTCTCTCCTAGATGTGATATATTGGAGACTCTCAAGTCTCTGTCTGTCTCTCCTAGATGTGACATATTGGAGACTTTCACGTCTAGGTCTGTCTCTCCTAGATGTGACATATTGTGGGCTCTCAACTCCTGGTCTATCTCTCCTAGATGTGATATATTGGAGACTCTCAAGTCCCTGTCTGTCTCTCCTAGATGTGACATATTGTGGGCACTGAATTCTTGATATGTCTCTCCAAAGATTGAGCTAGGTCCAACAGTGAACCTAGGTGTCAGGTTTTTTGGAGAGAGAATTCCTGAAGTTGTTTTGTCTGAAACAGTCAATGATGCTGAATCAGGCGTTGTCGTCAATGATGCTGAATCAGGCGTTGTCGTCAATGATGCTGAATCAGGCGTTGTCGTCAATGATGCTGAATCAGGCGTTGTCCCAAGTGTAGACAAACTTCCGGGGCTTATCTTAACTGAGTGCGGCTGCTTTGAGCTGCGTCTGATCCAAGGGCTAAGTCTTGCCCTACTGTTTGTGAAAGGGCTAAGTCTTGACCTGCTGTTTGTGAAAGGGCTAAGTCTTGCCCTGCTGTTTGTGAAAGGGCTAAGTCTCGCCCTACTGGCTGTCTTTGGTGTGGATGTTAATGAAAATATTTTCTTCCCAGGTGTCCCAATGGTGGGTGTGGCCAGGTTGTCATGCCCTGCCAGAGGTGGAGTCTCATCGCTTGGATGGGCCCTGGGTATGGGCGTCAATTCCATGTGTGTCCTACTTATAGGTGTGGATGGATTATCTGGCAACTTGTCCATGTGTGTCCAACTTATAGGTGTGGATGGATTATCTGGCAACTTTTCCATGTGGGTCCTACTTATAGGTGTGGATGGATTATCTGGCAACTTTTCCATGTGTCTCCTACTTATAGGTGTGGATGGATTATCTGGCAACTTTTCCATGTGTGTCCTACTTATAGGTGTGGATGGATTATCTGGCAACTTTTCCATGTGGGTCCTACTTATAGGTGTGGATGGATTATCTGGCAACTTTTCCATGTGTGTCCTACTTATAGGTGTGGGTGGATTATCTGGCAACTTTTCCATGTGTGTCCTACTTATAGATGTGGATGGATTATCTGGCAACTTTTCCATGTGTGTCCTACTTATAGGTGTGGATGGATTATCTGGCAACTTTTCCATGTGTGTCCTACTTATAGGTGTGGGTGGATTATCTGGCAACTTTTCCATGTGTGTCCTACTTATAGGTGTGGATGGATTATCTGGCAACTTGTGCATGTGTGTCTTGTGTTTGGGTATGGATGGATCATCTTTCAACTTGACAGTGACTGTTCTGTTTGTACATGACTTGCTTCTCTTCCTGCCAACCATGCTGGGGCAGGATTTGTTAGGAGACTTGAGATTTACTGAATTTAAGTTTGGCTCTTGATCGAACAAAATTTGACTGTTCTCTGGACAAGTTCTGGAACATTGTTCTTTACCTGACATGGTGACCAAGTACCTAGAAGTGATGTTTGATTGGCCGGATGAGAAACCAAATAACTTCCTGTTCAGCTTTCTGTTAACTGAACTTTGCTGGCCTCTGACAGGGGTGACACAATCTTTGATCTGTTGCAGTGGTTGTGTTGTGTGAGATGATGTAATGATGTCACAATCTTTGATTTGTTGCAGTGGTTGTGTTGTGTGAGGGGATGATATAACGATGTCACAATCTTTGATTTGTTGCAGTGGTTGTGTTGTGTGAGGGGATGATATAACGATGTCACAATCTTTGATTTGTTGCAGTGGTTGTGTTGTGTGAGGGGATGATATAACGATGTCACAATCTTTGATTTGTTGCAGTGGTTGTGTTGTGTGAGGGGATGATGTAACAATGTCACAATCTTTGATTTGTTGCAGTGGTTGTAATGTGTGAGGGGATGATGTAACAATGTCACAATCTTTGATTTGTTGCAGTGGTTGTAATGTGTGAGGGGATGATGTAACGATATCTGTGCGAGGAAGTGACTCACGTCCTAGAGTTCTGGCAAATATCTGACCTGTGTCTGCCTCACACAAGCCATCATCATTTTCCTCAGCCTTGCCAGTTAGGTTGCTGCATCCGTCAACAGATTTGACACTATGGTTTGTGTCAGTGGCGCAATGGTTTGTATCAGTGTTGCAATGTTTTGTGTCAGTGACACTATGGTTTGTGTCAGTGGCGCAATGGTTTGTGTCAGTGGTACAATGGTTTGTATCAGTGTCACAATGTTTTGTGTCAGTGACACTATGGTTTGTGTCAGTGACACTATGGTTTGTGCCACTACCAGCCGTGGCATCTGGCCGTAGATTGCTTGCTGCTTCCCCTGTTGTGGCCATCTGTCTGGTGTGTGCAGCCTCCTTTAGTTTGTTGATCTTGAATGGATCAAACAGTCGAGGCAGTTCAAAGTGAGCAGGTTCTGATTTGGTGGCGCCATCTATCAGAAACTGAAAAATGGACAGGACAGCCGCTGCTGTCTTCTGGCTGGTCAGTGATTTCCTAGCCGCTGCTGTCTTCTGGCTGGTCAGTGATTTCCTAGCCGCTGCTGTCTTCTGGCTGGTCAGTGATTTCCTGGCCACTGCTGTCTTCTGGCTGGTCAGTGATTTCCTAGCCGCTGCTGTCTTCTGGCTGGTCAGTGATTTCCTAGCCGCTGCTGTCTTCTGGCTGGTCAGTGATTTCCTGGCCACTGCTGTCTTCTGGCTGGTCAGTGATTTCCTAGCCGCTGCTGTCTTCTGGCTGGTCAGTGATTTCCTAGCCGCTGCTGTCTTCTGGCTGGTCAGTGATTTCCTGGCCACTGCTGTCTTCTGGCTGGTCAGTGATTTCCTGGCCTGCTGGGTGAGTGCCCCTGGTGCTGCGCTGGACTGAGAAGTTGAGCTAGACGTCCCAGAGCTCAAACTGGCCAGTCTTGGAGAGCAGCGCTTTACCAACGCACCCGAACTTCTCTTGCGTCTTGCTGTTGGCTGAGTGCCCTGGGAAGATTCTGAGAGGAAGTCCTCAGCTAACACAAACTGGGAGTATGGGATGGCATCAAGTTCTGTGTAATCCAAGAATGCACTAGGACATCTTTCAGTTTCTGGAATAGTGGATGCACATTTCTCATCTGACTGCTGAAACTTGACTGAATCAACAGACTGCTGACTAGGAAACTTGACTGAATCAACAGACTGCTGAAACTTGACTGAATCAACAGACTGCTGACTAGGATACTTGACTGAATCAACAGACTGCTGAAACTTGACTGAATCAACAGACTGCTGACTAGGAGACTTGACTGAATCAACAGACTGCTGAAACTTGACTGAATCAACAGACTGCTGACTAGGAAACTTGACTGAAGCAACAGACTGCTGAAACTTGACTGAATCAACAGACTGCTGACCCTCAGCCTCCACTGAATGGGCTGATTTGGCTAAACTGAGTTGCTCAATTTTCTGTTTTTTGGCCGAGGGCTCCAAGACTGTTTCATGCATACATCTTTCTGATTGGCTGATTCCTAAAATCCTGAAAAACTCTGAATCTGTTAGAGAAGCGTGTGTGGGGATAACGGCTGGAGCTGGTATGGTGGCACCAGCAGCGCCAGTCCCTGAGATCTGGAAGGATTCTGTGATAGAGAAACAAGGTGGTGCCACAGACAGGTTCAGCCCCAACTTGGTGGCTGATGTAGTGTTGACTCTATCATTGGGTCTCTTTTCATCAACTGGTCTCACTTCATCAGTAGGTCTCTTATCATCAACAGGTCTCACTTCATCAGTAGGTCTCTTATCATCAACAGGTCTCACTTCATCAGTAGGTCTCTTATCATCAACTGGTCTCACTTCATCAGTGGGTCTCTTATCATCAACAGGTCTCACTTCATCAGTAGGTCTCTTATCATCAACAGGTCTCACTTCATCAGTAGGTCTCTTATCATCAACTGGTCTCACTTCATCAGTGGGTTTCACTTCAGCAACAGTTCTCACTTTATCAGTGGGTTTCACTTCAGCAACAGTTCTCACTTCATCAGTGGGTCTCACTTCATCAGTGGGTCTCACTTCATCAGTGGGTCTCACTTCATCAGTGGGTCTCACTTCATCAGTGGGTCTCACCTCAGAAACAGGTCTCACTTCATCAGTGGGTCTCACCTCAGAAACAGGTCTCACTTCATCAGTGGGTCTCACCTCAGAAACAGGTCTCACTTCATCAGTGGGTCTCACCTCAGAAACAGGTCTCACTTCATCAGTGGGTCTCACCTCAGAAACAGGTCTCACTTCATCAGTGGGTCTCACCTCAGAAACAGGTCTCACTTCATCAGTGGGTCTCACCTCAGAAACAGGTCTCACTTCATCAGTGGGTCTCACCTCAAGAACAGGTCTCACTTCACTATAATTAAGATGCTGACCAGCACTGTCAAATGACGTTTCTTCCTGCATCTCGTGCTCCTGTATTTTGGCTCTGACGTATGCCCTCACTTGGGCTGCCCTTTTACACTTACACTTCTGTAGCAGAAATATTTTTGTGTGTAAACTGAACAAACTGAAGACCACACATCAACATAAATTGTCTTATTTTCATTAACAACCAGTCTTTCTTAGATTCATTACATTAAAAAAAATTTACCTCAAGTTTTTTCTGTTTCTTTGCCAGTTCTTTTTTCATCTCTAACAATTTTCTCAGCATCTTGAAAGTTTATGAGAAGACAATATATTCTATTCATAGATTATTGGTTTATAAATTTAAATAAAAACCCCAAAAAACTTTTTCAGCCTCTTTTTTTCTTAGGGTTGGGTTTAGACTAGAATTGTTATTTCCTAAATTATTCAAGCTGTTTTAATAATTGTCATTTTTAGCTAAACTGAAAATTTTACTGTAATTATTCAAGGTTTGAGCTTTTAAAAATCTATTAACAAAGTCCAGGGCTAGCAATGTCAAGTTTAGAGCCGGGCTAGTAATGTCAAGTTTAGAGCAGGGCTAGTAATGTCAAGTTTAGAGCAGGGCTAGTAATGTCAAGTTTAGAGCAGGGCTAGTAATGTCAAGTTTAGAGCAGGGCTAGTAATGTCAAGTTTAGAGCAGGGCTAGTAATGTCAAGTTTAGAGCAGGGCTAGTAATGTCAAGTTTAGAGCAGGGCTAGTTATGTCAAGTTTAAAGCCGGGCTAGTAATGTCAAGTTTAGAGCTTTGTGTTTAACAAGCAATATGTGATAGTCTAATTACTTGCTCTTTACTAGGAGTCTCCATGTCTATTGTTGTTGTAGTTGAGAATTTCAGAAAGAAAAAATGTTTCTTCTAGAGGCTACAAAAACAGAAGAGTTATTAATACACTTGTTAACAATTTTCTTCATTTATATGTAACTGAGATTGAGAGGTATTAAAAGTTATGAATCAAAGTGTGTGAAAACAGATCTTAATTAGTTGTAGCTGCATATATTACACTTACAGACAGGCACTTCCATCACCAGCCACGACCTTGAAAAGTTGAATGTCATTCGCAAGATCTAAAAAATATGCATGTATACTGTACATGCAGGACTATAAACTTTAATTAATAATTAAACATTTGAGACCTTTGCCTTTATGATAAAATAATTTTTTATTTAACAGGCAATAAAACTTAGGGCCTAGGGCTAGGCCTATATAACTTTTTAATCCTATATTTAGATTCTAGACTAAATAGCCTAAAATAATGTTTAATTAATTTAATTAGTAGACCCAGTGGCATGCAGACCTAACCTAATACTAATGTTTAATGTAGATCTAGATGTGTGGGGCCAACTCAAAAGGAAGATGCCCCTATAATTGACCCAATTACTGTAATTAGCCAATTAATAATCCTAGGCCTAAATATAGTAAATAACTAAATAGGCCGATTCTAGCTGGAATAAGATACACATGCGATACGCATGCGCAATGGAAACTACGACTTGCCTTAGCGGCGATGTTTTCGATGGTACTGCGCATGCGTGTGTTTACAACCGCAGAACCCTAACACCAACCCTAATCCTATCCTTAACCCTATCCCTAATCCTATCCCTAATCCTACCCCTAACCCTCATTCTAGCCCTAACCCTAGCCATAGGTCACTGCGCATGCGCAGAGCTATCTTTTGTCGACTAAGTGGAGACGTTGGGGAGAAAAATCGGTAATCTATCGTTTTAGGTACGTAAAATCGCCCGCGACTAGTAATGTGAAAAACAGGTGACTCCTTACATTTTAATAATTATTTCACATTTTGAGGAGGATTTATGTTTTGAAAAATACAAAAATGTTTCCTTGATTCATTTATGTACCTGTTTTTAAACAATTGAATTAAAACTTTTCAGTAATAAATGAACACCAGCGATGTTTCCAACTAATGCAACCATGCTCATTTACTATAGCAGACATCTTGTTAGTTTTATTTTTATAGACTTATAGCGCGAGATTCAGGCGGAAGTCACTCTATTTTACAAACGAGCCGACCCGCTGCGTATCATACGCCGCTATTTAGTTGTTTTTTTTTCTACTTTTCAGTAATTTATAATTTGTGAATTCGACAGTACCAATGCTGCCATTGAAAATATTTGCTTAAAACACTACCCCCCCCCCCCCCACGTGAAAGCAGCCTCCTCTTAGTTACCTCCTCTAAGTTTAAAATCGTTTCAAACTAAATTATCTGCCCCTAATAGCCATCACCAAACCCGTCTCTGTGATTGTAAAATGTAAACAGAGTGAACACCGCTCACCAGATCATGTAGGGGTGGGGTGGGGGTGGTAGTGATAGTGATAGAGAGGAAGAGAGGGGACTGCAAAGGCGCGCTTGCAGCTTATTTTCTAACTGATCCCAGAAGAGAATTATATACTAATATATACCTATAATATATATAGATGGCTGCTGTTTGTATAGCAAATCTTGTTTGCAGACACTGCTGTTTAAAGTCAATTTCTGGCCTTTTTCATTATTCATTTATCTATAATATTTGACACAAACATATCACAATATACTTCTATTACAGCCTTGATAATGACTCAATGAGGTAACGTTTTCGTACATTAATAGCCGCGGGCGATTTTACGTACCCAAAACGATAGATTACTGAAAAATCTTCTTCCCAGTAGGTGAGTAGATAGACACTTCGAACTAAATAATAAATAATTTTAAATAAATAAATATTAAATTAGGCCTAATAAATAGTTATTAAATAGGGGCCTACAAGTTGAAAAGCAGTTTTTTTTAAAAATTGTATGACAATACCGTATGACCGTCATATCTAGATCTAGATCTGGATCTACTAGATCTAGATTCTAGATCTAAATCTAGATATAGATCTAGATCTAGGTTCTAGGTCTAACTCTTAAAAACTAAAATTACTAACATTGTTTTTTGTTTGGTTTTTTTTTTGTATTGCCGCTCGCTATGTTGTAGTCGAGTACTTTTCCCTGTGGTCTGTATTGTTGAGGATTCGCTTTTTGTTTTATTATTTTTTCGTTTTAATCTGTGCTTACTCTGAGTGAAGGTAGCCTATCACAGAAGAAATAAAGGGGGTCTCTTATTATGGTACAACTAATCGTTGAGAATGTGTTTAATGCAAACACTTTCTGTGCTTAGAAGAAGTAAATTAATTTAAAATATAATTTTATGCTGTTTCATTTTGTTACTCAGTACTTCAACTTAAAGAGGTATTACTATATTGTTAAATAACGATATTCACTAATATAATAAGCAATTTAGGGGTCGTCCATAAATGACGTCACACTCGGAGGGGGGAGGGGGGTCGGTAGTTTTGTGACGATGTGTGATGAGGGGGAGGGAGGTTTCAGATGGTGCGACGTCACACTTTTTTCATTATAAAAAAGAAATGTTAGAAAACGAATTTTAGACGTTATTTCGCGTTTTAGAAAACTGTTTTAATAAATTGTAATAGGAATTAATTAAAATACTCTATTTTGTCAGATTTCAGACAAGAGTTTGGAAAAATATCGACCTAAGGGGGTCATCCATAAATGACGTCACGCCTTTTTTGACGATTTTTACCTTCCCCCCCCCCCCCACTCCCCTTTGTCACACATAGTCACAAAAAGTGTGTGTGTGTGTTTGAGTGCGTGTAAATGTTTATAAGCTTTAATCACTGCAGACTTAATAGTAACGATGTTTATCTATAGTCTTTTAATAATACAGTAGGATATAGTATTGTTTTCTCTATTGTTAGCACGTTTATGTCATGGTGTCACCCCCACCCTCTTGTAATAATTGTCGATTTGTACTTAAAAGACTATTTAACTTTAATTAATCATTAATAGAACTGGCAAAAAGCATTTTTCTTCCGTAAATTTTGCAATTTTTTTGTCATGGTGTCACCCCCCTAAATGGCGTCATCTGGTGGGGTCCGCTTCCCCGCCCCTCCCGCGCTACGCCTCTGACAGAGTAATTTAATCAATTCCAATTACGATTTATTTAAACAGTTTTCTAAAACGCGAGATAACTACTAAAATTTGTTTTCTAACAATGCTTTTTTATAATGCAAAAGTGTGAAGTCACACCATAATGAACATGAACATGAACATGAACATGAACATGAACATGAACATGAACATGAACATGAACATGAACATGAACATGAACATGAACATGAACATGAACATGAACATGAACATGAACATGAACATGAACATGAACATGAACATGAACATGAACATGAACATGAACATGAACATGAACATGAACATGAACATGAACATGAACATGAACATGAACATGAACATGAACATGAACATGAACATGAACATGAACATGAACATGAACATGAACATGAACATGAACATGAACATGAACATGAACATGAACATGAACATGAACATGAACATGAACATGAACATGAACATGAACATGAACATGAACATGAACATGAACATGAACATGAACATGAACATGAACATTGAACATGAACATGAACAAGAACCCCCCCCCTCCCGAAAAGATGCCTGGAAGAAATATAATGGACCCAGTCACAATCGTGCATATGTAATAACTAGCCGTCCCGGCCAGGCCCTGCTCTGACTTCTGTGAAAAACCTTTCTGCTAAAGACCATCACCTGTGTGTTTAGTAATCATCATAAACCCGGCATTGCCCACCCAAACCACAACCAACCAAAACCAAAACAACATGTGTGTTTAGTAATCATCATAAACCCGGCATTGCACACCCAAACCACAACCAACCAAAACCAAAACAACAAAACGCAAACATAACGCTAACACAATTACAAATACAAACGAAAACAAAAACCTAACAACAAACCCAACCACAACCACAAACACCAATACCAACCAATAACAACACACAAAAAAACGAAAAAGCAAACGAAAACAAACCAAATCCAAACGCAAAACCAACCAAAAACACAAATACAAACCCAAAGAAAAAAACACAAACAAAAACGAAAAAAGAAAGAACAAAAACGAACCAAATCAAACTGCAACCACTAACGCAAACCCAAGCTAAACACAAAGAAAACACTAACGCGAACATAAACGCAAAGTGCTCACAGTCTAGCCCGGGGCGAAATCGCCTGTTTTAGCTTAATAAACGACTATAGTACCCCAACTTATTCATAGTCTTTTGCACTCACTTAAACGAACGCGCCTGTTTCAATTTAATGAACAATTATAATACTCCAAGCTTATCCGTAAAATACCTACAACATTTGCACTTGATCAATCCCCGCTAATTATGTAATTATTTTTTTCCCAACACCAAAACAAAGTAATAAAAAGTAAATTCTTTTCCACTAATGCAATGGTTTTATAAAGGGAAGTAATTGTGTTTTCCTAATTTATCAAAGGGAAGTAAGTGCTATAGGACTAAATAAAGACATAATTAGAATTTTTGTAAAAGATGATATTTTTTAAAACTTGTGTTTAATGAAAATGCCGAAAATTATTACTTTCAGTTTGATAAATGAAAATTATTTCCCAAAACTTTCAATATTAATTTTTTAACTCATAAATTTAGACCGTAAGGACTTTAATTATCTAACACTTAAATCCATTGAAGTATGTCAACAACAAACTTATTACATACAGAATTGAGCTTTATATATTAGATAAAGGGCCTGCTAGATCTTTATGTGTAATAATTATTGTCTATGTGCATGATACACAGTGGCGTAGCTACCGTAAAGCTAGCGTAAGCAAGGCATAGGGGCCCTTTTTTGAAAGTTTGAAGGGGGGGGGGTGCAAATCGAAAGTTTGTCCCCGGTCGCCGGGAAAGGTCGCTACGCCTCTGAGGGGCCCACTAACACTTTTTGCATAGGGGCCCAAAAATCCTAGCTACGCCACTGATGATACAGATGAATTTATAGGCCTATGACGTGCGATGTGTGTAAGACAGTGGCGTAGCTACCGTAAAGCTAGCGTAAGCAAGGCATAGGGGCCCAAGGCAAATATGGGCCCTTTTCCCTCTTTGAATTTAAAAACAAAAACTTTTACATTGGAATTTTGATATTTGTATTATAAAAAGAATTTTAAAAAGAAAGCGTGAATCCAGTTTCTTTTCTACTGTAGAAATAATTTAAAAATTAAAAAAAGCCCCCCCCCCCAAACCTTTCTAATTGGGGAGGGGGGGGGTGCACAAGGCCCATCGGTATTAATAACACTATAGGCCTATTAGACTATAAATAAACTTGAACAATGACTCTTTTGTGAGATTGGCATCCGGCACCCGCAAATACCATCCATCCATGATTACAATGAGCCTTTTTTTAAATAACAGCCGTGGACAGTGTTTTCACAACAAGCTACGTCAAAAATGTGTTAATGTTTCTCTAGTTTTAACCTTAATCACAATGTGTTTGTTGATCTAATTTACCTCTATTCAATATGCTGCTACTTAAAGATTTTTGTTTGTCTGTCTCCTTGTCCTTTATGCATAAATACAAAAAATTATCCAATCGCCAAGAAACATTGTGAAGTCGTTTAGAATAATTCAGACAAACCTCTACTGACCGTGAAATTTCCTACCACAACCCCACACATGAGGAGCAGTGCCTCTCCCTTCGAAGAGAAGCCAAAAAGAAACTCTGACTCCTGCAACGTTTTCTGCCATTAATTTTTTTTTTAATACTTTGTTCGGAGAGCGCCCCCTTGACAGTAAGGCGGTTCGGTTTGCCACCCAGAGTTCCCGGGTGGCTTTCTTAGCACTTGGGGTCAGTTAATTGGGTGTCCTGCACAAGTGGTCAGGGTTACTGCTTAATTCAATGGTCAAACTGCACAGGTGCATCAGCAGGCGCCCGGGGCTCCCCCCGTGAGCACTACGGCGCATACACTTGTTTTAATGAGCGCCATGCCCTAGGGATACGGAGGGCTACTATAATCAATGGCTAAAGAAAACAAGGAGTGTCCTCCAGCCGCCTCGGCAGTATTATACAGTTGAGCGCCACAAGTCTCTCCATTATGATGATGTAATGAAACAAGTTGTAGATATTCCCTTTGGGTCAGTAACTCCGTCATCCTAAGTATCGAACATACAGAAGCAGCTAAAATATACTTCAAGGAACATATTAATCACATTGCAAACTTATAAGAAAGAAAAAAAAAACCAAAGCTAAAGAGTGGCGTCAGTGGCGTTGCGAGGTCGGGTGTCACCCGGTGCGGCACTTAATGGTGTCACCCCCCAGAGGCATAGAGACCCTTTCCAGGGACAAACTTTCAAATTTTCGATTTGCACCCCCCCTCAAACTTTCGATTTGCACCACCCCCCCTCGAGTTTTCGATTTGCACCCCCCCTCAAACTTTCGATTTGCACCCCCCCCCCCCTCGAGTTTTCGATTTGCACCCCCCCCCCTCAAACTTTCGATTTGCACCCCCCTCGAGTTTTTCTCTATATATTTTGCTATTTTTTGCCTTGGTGTCACCCCCCTAAATGGTGTCACCCGGTGCGGTCCGCACCCCCGCCCCCCCCCCCCTCGCTACGCCCCTGAGTGGCGTCACAAGGTTCGATATTATCCGGTACGTTTAGTGAGTGATTTACAACCCCCCTCAAACTTTCGAATTGCACCACTCTCGAACTTTTGATTTGCACCCCCACCCTCAAACTTTCAATTAGCACCACTCTCGAATTTTTGATTTGCACCCCCCCCCCTCAAACTTTCAATTTGTTTTTGCAACCCATTTTGGCGCCCCCTAAGGTCGGCACCCGGGGACATATGTCCCCCCCGCCCCACCCCCCTCGCTACGCCTCTGCGTCATGGTGTTACGCCTAAATTGTGAGGCCCCCCGTCCCGTGAAGCTACTATGTTAGTTTACTTAAAGGTTACATGCTTACAGTTAATTTGTTAATTTATTTTTTCATAAAAGTGATATAAAATCAATGGTATAATAATACCGTATAAATACACAACTATGGACGTATAAAATACACAATTTACAGATTAACGTAGGGGCCCAATAATAATTTTTTCATAGGGGCCCGAAAATCCTAGCTACGCCACTGGTGTAAGAACTATATTATAGGGCCTTAGTACATTCTGTGGGAGAATCTAGGGCCTGCGTACATTATGTTGAAGACTTATGGCCTACTAGATAGAACTCAGATGACTTTATGATCTCAGAAGTTTGAGTTAACTGGTTGGGGGGGGGGGGAATCCCACTGCTATATTATTATTTTTTAACGTAATTCATTTTAACATAACTCCTATATTAATTAATATAAGTTTGTAAGTATAGATATGTTGTCGAAGTGTCTCCAGCAGTAGGCTAGTATATTTACTAGACTAGATGTTTCTATTTTTAGCGCAATTTCCATTCTGGAGAATTGCGTTTATTAACGCGTCATTTCTGGATGGATGGATGGATGGATGAATGTATGGATGAATGTGTGTCCGGGCTTTAAGTCGTATCTCCTCCTCAACGAAGCAATATCGATGACTAGTTCCAAAAGCAATTATGTTAAGCAAGTTACAAGAATGAGCATAGGCCATAAAAATTCCGGGTTTCTTTCATGTATTTCCCGGAAAAGCCAAAAAACCTCGAAAAAAAGCAGTTTTTGGCCCATATCTCGTCAACCAGACCACTTAGCGACTTGAAACATGTACCAATCGATTCCTGCCATAATTTAGAGCAATATTGCCGAAGAAAGTTTTCAAAAATATCCTCTCGTTTGGTCACAAATTTTAAAATTACAAAAACACCTACAAACCGATTGTTCTTCTAGCTTGAACGCATCCCAGCATTATACGTCAGAGCTATTTTTAGATAACATAAGGAAATTGCGCATAAATGTCACTAGACTTTTTTTAATTAACTTGTTTTTTAATTTACAAAAAAAAAATGTTTGGATCTGGAGATCTATAAATAGACACAGGAAGCACACCCATCCAGATTAAACGGAAGTGGGAATCGTCAAATTGTAGAACAATACTAAAATTTTGTAGGCCTAAACTAGATTCTAGATTTTAGATCCAGAATCTAGAATTGAGGATTGAATTCTCCATCGGAGTTGCGTAATTTTTTGTTAAACTAATTATCTGTAGATCTATTCCTGAATGAAACTCGCTTGAATTTAAAGAAATGGAACTATTTAAGTGTTTAATATTACTCGAACATGGTTAAATTGTGTTATTATTAGTAATTTGCACAATGTGTGCTGCTGTTAATTCTTCACCATCTTCTTCACCGTCAACACTGGCTCTTCGAGGACAACAAACATTAAGTCCAAATTCTAACAGATCGAGAGACAAATCTTATGACTATTTACTTAAATTTCTCCTGGTGGGCGATAGTGATGTTGGCAAAGAAGAGCTTCTTTCTGGCATGGATGATGGTGCCTCAGAATCTCCTTATGGTTATGCAAGTAGTGGTAAGTTGAAGTAACTTGAACTTCAATCTCATTGGCATTACATTTTAAAGGCAGTTTATTAAAGGTGTGCTAGGTTGATAGTGTTGTCTTTTTCTCTAAACCAAATCCAAAATCACCACCTCAACTTCACCAAATTTAACTGGAAATGAAAAATGTAATGGAAAACTGATTTTTATCTAGATTCGTCATTTTAACCGGATTTAAGCTTGATCTACGTGTAGGCCTAGTTACTACACACTACTAGATCTACACAGTTTTTGTATTTAAAAATGAGTATTTTTCTGCAGGAATTGATTACAAAACTACAACTATTTTATTGGATGGGAAGCGTGTGAAACTGCAACTATGGTAGGGATTCACACTTAAAATGTCATGTTATGCTGCTTGTTTTGGAATGTTAGGACGTGATTTATCAGTTGTTCTTATTTAGTAGTTAGATAGTAGTTATTAACTACTTATAGTTCAGAATTTTACTTGTAAGTTAATGTTAGGATTTTTTTTTCATACAGGCTTTGCCTTTTAAGTTTTTAAAACAATTTTTTTTTCTTTGACTTGAAGGGTAACCTCTGGTCAAGGAAGATTCTGCACAATATTACGGTCTTATTCAAGAGGAGCTCAGGTCAGTATTGAAGGATCATAATAATTAGTTGAGGTGTCAATGGGTTTCAAGAAGTTCACTAAACCAATCTGTTTAGCCAAACCATTATGGAACATGACAAGACAGTCTGCTGACCATCATGGGATTCATTACTGGCCATCATGGGGTTTATATCATGACAAGACAGTCTACTGGCCATCATGGGGTTTATATCATGACAAGACAGTCTACTGACCATGGGGTTCATATCATGACAAGACAGTCTGCTGACCATCATGGGGTTCATTACTGGCCATCATGGGGTTTATATCATGACTAAAATTGAATCAATGTGTCCACAGGGCATCCTACTGGTGTATGACATCACTAACAAGTGGTCATTTGATGGGATAGACAGGTGGATCAAAGAGATTGATGAGGTATTTTTAGTGTCCTGGTTTGTTTGACATGTGCTAAAGATAAATTTGTTATAGAAATTGTCTTGTACCTTTAACTGATGTGTTTCTCAATGATTGTATTGTACCTTTAACTGATGTGTTTCTCAATGATTGTATTGTACCTTTATCTGATGTGTTTCTCAATGATTGTATTGTACCTTTAACTGATGTGTTTCTCAATGATTGTATTGTACCTTTAACTGATGTGTTTCTCAATGATTGTATTGTACCTTTAACTGATGTGTTTCTCAATGATTGTATTGTACCTTTATCTGATGTGTTTCTCAATGATTGTATTGTACCTTTATCTGATGTGTTTCTCAATGATTGTATTGTACCTTTAACTGATGTGTTTCTCACTGATTGTATTCTACCTTTAACTGATGTGTTTCTCAATGATTGTATTGTACCTTTAACTGATGTGTTTCTCAATGATTGTATTGTACCTTTAACTGATGTGTAATGTGTACCCCATGTTTCAGCATGCCCCTGGAGTGCCCAAGATTCTAGTGGGTAACCGCCTCCATCTGGCGTTTCGCCGTCAGATTAGTGAGGCGTGTGCGGAGCAGTACGCTGAGAAGAACAACATGGCATTTTTTGAGGTCAGCCCACTGTGTGACTTCAATGTGACCGAGTCTTTTGCAGAACTCTCTCGCCTGGCGCTCAAGAGAAATGGCATGAGTAGGGCGTTTGGCTTTAACAAAGGTAAGGGTTAAGGCAGAGGTCGAGTTAAAGTTTTGACAGAGGTTGTCTTAGATGTAATCATCAGGTCATTTCCAAACTGGCTTTTGTAGTGAAAGAATGTTCATTTTTACCAAAGCCCCCCCCCCCCCCCCCTGCCTCAAATTTGTAATGACTGCCCCCCTCAGTCCTCAGCCTCCAAGAGCTGGCCTGTAGGACCGTGGTCTCCTGCACCACCATCTACGGCATCGAGCAGCTGCCCCTCCCCAACAGCATCAAGTCCCACCTCAAGTCCTACGCCCTGACCAACAAGACCAGGGCCAGGATGTTGAGCTTCGTCCACAGAGACAGGCACAAGAAGGTCAAGTACCTCAACCCTTGTGAGTCTCCTCCCACCAACTGTCGCAAGAGCTGTATCCTCAGCTAGACAGACTGGCACACTACACAAGCTCTTGTACATATGTCCTTGTACACAAGTTCCTGTACACATGTTTGGTCAAACATAGTGAGACAAGTTTGCTGTACATCCTTTCTATCATTAGTCATGTAAATATTGTCATTTTTCTAATTGAAAAGTTTATATTTGCTAATTAATTAATTAATTAATTAATGTTTGTGTCAGTTGTATGAGGATCTAACTGTTGAATGAGTAAATCTGTATGATATGTCAGCTTGTGTGGTCAAGATGTCAAGGCCATGTGGTCAAGATGTTGGTGTGTGGTGGTGATGTTGGTGTGTGGTGATGTTGGTGTGTGGTGGTGATGTTGGTGTGTGGTGAAGATGTTGGTGTGTGGTGAAGTTGTTGGTGTGTGGTGATGTTGGTGTGTGGTGAAGATGTTGGTGTGTGGTGAAGATGTTGGTGTGTGGTGAAGATGTTGGTGTGTGTGGTGAAGTTGTTGGTGTGAGAGATTGGTAACTTTTTTCCCAAATGAATGTCAAAATACTATTTAATACTTGTATTTTTGTATAATATCAGATTTGATCATTTCTATTTTTGTCACTAGCCGTTGTAACTTGGTTGTTATGGCTACTGTTGTAACTTGGTTGTCATGGATACAATAACCGCATGCTTTAAACTTGAGATTGTCTTGTGTCATTATTGAAAGCTGTTTCATCATATATTGGACAGGGCTGTTGAGTGAAATAGTTTGCTGTGACCTTCTAGTAGATTCCATATTTTTGAGTCCATAGAAGCTAACAAATACAGGAGATGACTTGTACTTACTTTCAGAGTTGCCTTATAATTGTTTCCATCACAGTCTCTCTCTAGCCTTTAAACTGCCTTACTCGACATCTAGTGAGCCTCCATTCTGCCAGATGTCAACTCTGTCATGTCATCTCTGTCATGTGATTCACGTCAACAGCTCTAACCACCTCCAGCATTAACCATCTGCCAGCAACTGCAGTATTGCCCCCCCCCCCCCAACCTACCCAGTTCTCTCTCCTGCTGTGGTGTGCCCCCCATCCACCTACCTAGTTCTCTCTCCTGCTGTGGTGTGGCCCCCCCCCCCCCCACCTACCCAGTTCTCTCTCCTGCTGTGGTGTGGGCCCCCCCCCACCTACCCAGTTCTCTCTCGTGCTGTGGTGTGGGCCCCCCCCCCACCTACCCAGTTCTCTCTCGTGCTGTGGTGTGGGCCCCCCCCACCTACCCAGTTCTCTCTCCTGCTGTGGTGTGGGCCCCCCCAACCTACCTAGTTCTCTCTCCTGCTGTGGTGTGGGCCCCCCCCACCTACCCAGTTCTCTCTCCTGCTGTGGTGTGGGCCCCCCCCACCTACCCAGTTCTCTCTCCTGCTGTGGTGTGGGCCCCCCCCCACCTACCCAGTTCTCTCTCCTGCTGTGGTGTGGCCCCCCCCCCCCACCTACCCAGTTCTCTCTCCTGCTGTGGTGTGGGCCCCCCCCCCCCCCCCCACCTACCTAGTTCTCTCTCCTGCTGTGGTGTGGGCCCCCCTGTGGCTGCAAGAATCTTATTAAAAAAAACTGACACAACTGACAAAAACTAAGACAACTGACATGACTACCTGCATTCGACAACACAAATCAAAATGTAATTTGTAACAGTGGTGTGTAAGATGATTAAACTGTACCAGTGGCGTTAATAGTTAGGTTAAAAGATGACAGTGACATTTAGAGTTAGGTTAAAAGTTGATAGTGGCATTTAGAATTAGGTTAAAAGATGACATTAGCATTTAGAATTAGGTTAAAAGATGACATTAGCATTTAGAATTAGGTTAAAAGATGACATTAGCATTTAGAGTTAGGTTAAAAGTTGCCTGGCATTTAGAATGAGGTCATAAGATGACATATAGAAAGGTTGTATGAAGAGTTAAGAAGCAGCAGCACCCAGGCTGCCTGTATGTGACAGCTAGCCTCAGCCACCAAACTTGTCATGTTGTACATTTAAATGTCAAGATTTAAATGTCAAGATTTAAATGTCAAGATTTAAATGTCAAGTATTTTTGTTGTACTTTTCAAGTCTTAATACCAATGTTGTTTTTTTTTTTTTGATCGTGTGAAAATGCAAGCAATATTTGTCAACAACAAGCGAAGTGATAGTGTAACTTGAACGGTCCATAGTGTAACTTGGCACTGTCACATTGAATGTTTGCATGGTCCATAGTGTAACTTGGCACTATCACATTGAATGGTCCATAGTGTACCTTGGCACTGTCACATTGAATGTTTGCATGGTCCATAGTGTAACTTGGCACTATCACATTGAATGGTCCATAGTGTACCTTGGCACTGTCACATTGAATGTTTGCACGGTCCATAGTGTAACTTGACACTGTCACATTGAATGTTTGCATGGTCCATAGTGTAACTTGGCACTGTCACATTGAATGGTCCATAGTGTAACTTGGCATTGTCACATTGAATGTTTGCATGGTCCATAGTGTAACTTGGCACTATCACATTGCATGGTCCATAGTGTAACTTGACACTGTCACATTGAATGTTTGCATGGTCCATAGTGTAACTTGGCACTATCACATTGCATGGTCCATAGTGTAACTTGGCATTGTCACATTGAATGTTTGCATGGTCCATAGTGTAACTTGGCACTATCACATTGAATGGTCCATAGTGTAACTTGGCACTGTCACATTGAATGGTCCATAGTGTAACTTGACACTGTAACATTGAATGGTCCATAGTGTAACTTGACACTGTAACATTGAATGTTCGCATGGTCCATAGTGTAACTTGACACTGTAACATTGAATGGTCCATAGTGTAACTTGACACTGTAACATTGAATGGTCCATAGTGTAACTTGACACTGTAACATTGAATGGTCCATAGTGTAACTTGACACTGTAACATTGAATGTTTGCATGGTCCATATTTTGTTATAGTGGAATGAAAGTGTTCAAAGAATGAAATGTGTGAATATACCAAGGACAGAGTTTAAAGGTTGATGATTGTACAGGTAGAGGCTAGGTAGGACTGCTATGTTGTGTCATCAGTCTGATATTATTTGTGTACTCACTGCCCTCAGTGTATATTATGTCACCACTCACCAATGGTGTCATGTGTTTAACATACCCAGTACCCCCACCCACAGTATTTGCTTGTAATTCCAGCTGGTTGTCATGGCAACCATCTGTTTTGAGGCTGTGATAATTTATGTAACTCTCATTCTGCTAACCCACCTCATAAAGCCAGTCTTTGGTTGTGTTGACCTTACATATGTGTACGCTCAGATTGTGTTGACCGTACAAATATGTGTACGCTCAGATTGTGTTGACCTTACAAATATGTGTACGCTCAGATTGTGTTGACCGTATAAATATGTGTACGCTCAGATTGTGTTGACCGTACAAATATGTGTACGCTCAGATTGTGTTGACCGTACAAATATGTGTACGCTCAGATTGTGTTGACCGTACAAATATGTGTACGCTCAGATTGTGTTGACCGTACAAATATGTGTACGCTCAGATTGTGTTGACCCTACAAATATGTGTACGCTCAGATTGTGTTGACCCTACAAATATGTGTACGCTCAGATTGTGTTGACCGTACGCTCAGATGTTTGGAGTTAGCAGCCACCCTGAGGTGTTTCTCGTTTGGACCAGGTTCACTTTCATCTTGTCCTCTAGCTAGCAGACAGCTGGTAGCCCTAGGACCTGGCTAGCAGACAGCTGGTAGCCCTAGGACCTGGCTAGCAGACAGCTGATAGCCCTAGGACCTGGCTAGTTGACAGCCATATGATTGTGTCAGTTGTGTGTGATGTTTGTGTCAATCGTGTGTGATGATTGTGTCAGTGGTGTATTTGAATAAGACATGACAGTATCAGCTTTAAGTGTGGTGTTTTATTTGCCTGTAGGTTTCCTGTTGTAACACTTATCACTGAGTTCAAAGGTCAGACAATAAACTTTGATGTTTACTCTCCTCCATAGTGTTCTCACACCTGTGTTTACCACAACACAATCATGGCACCATATGTCACCCTCACACAATCATGGCACCATATGTCACCCTCACACAATCATGGCACCATATTTTACCACAACACAATCATGGCACCCTATTTTACCACAACACAATCATGGCACCATATGTCACCCTCACACAATCATGGCACCCTATTTTACCACAACACAATCATGGCACCATATGTCACCCTCACACAATCATGGCACCCTATTTTACCACAACACAATCATGGCACCCTATTTTACCACAACACAATCATGGCACCATATGTCACCCTCACACAATCATGGCACCGTGTTTCGCCATCACAATCATGCTGCCATCACACACTCATATATTCACACAATCAGCACTTATTTAGATAAATGCACTTAATGTCAGCTTCTGGCCAATGTTCCGGATAAGAAAAAACTAATTGGTCAGTAATTCTATCTCGTCCTTTAATTGGTCAGTAATTCTATCTCGTCCTTTAATTGGTCAGTAATTCTATCTCGTTCTTTAATTGGTCAGTAATTCTATCTCGTCCTTTAATTGGTCAGTAATTCTATCTCGTTCTTTAATTGGTCAGTAATTCTATCTCGTCCAAGCAGCTGTATCTGTGTGTGGGTCGTATGCCGCCTTTATGACTTGCACGGTTCAATATCCGCCTTCCGTCTTTCTTGTACGTATGGTCAATGCTGTTGTCCAGCGGGAGGCCACTTGTCAGCAGACCCAGGCGCTCATAGCCCGTCTCGGCCATGTGGGGGAGTGTCGGACCACTGACCCCCAGCTGACCCAAACTTTCCTCCAGCGACTCGATGGAAGACTGGCCTGAGTCGGTGAGCTTGTGTTTGGTGGCACTCTGCCATTGGTTGATTTCTGCGACTGTCGTCAAGATGGTCGCGGCCCTAGGGGAAGCCGTGAGCGGCACGTATTTCTGGGACATGGTAGCGCATGCGCCGTTGGGCACTGGGCAACTTCCGGAAATGAGTTGAACGTCTGTGGTGACGTCATTCGCCTTTCTACACACGTCCCTTGTGTCTGTTGCTTGAGGCCTAGATGCCACTTTAGACTGAGGCCCTAAAGTTTGGCTTGCTTTAGGAGCTGCTAGCTCGCCCCTGACAGGCTGGGCTATGACGCCAGGAGGGGCGGGCAGACGTGTGTTGGGGGCGGGCAGAAGTGTGTTGGGGGCGGGCAGAAGTGTGTTGGGGGCGGGCAGAAGTGTGTTGGGGGCGGGCAGACGTGTGTTGGGGGCGGGCAGAAGTGTGTTGGGGGCGGGCAGACGTGTGTTGGGGGCGGGCAGACGTGTGTTGGGGGCGGGCAGAAGTGTGTTGGGGGCGGGCAGAAGTGTGTTGGGGGCGGGCAGAAGTGTGTTGGGGGCGGGCAGACGTGTGGTGGCCTGTGGCCTGACCCTCTTCGTGTTGTCGAATGTGACCCTCTTCAACACAACGTTGTTGTTGTCATTATCGTCCATGACGTCAGAATGGTGTGCGATGTGTTGAGACCTCGTGACCTTGTCCAGCACGAAAACATCCGGGGTCTCCAGCCAGGTCTGAAGAGCTGTTGGATTACCTGCCCTTGTCCCGATGTTCTCGGCAGGCTGATCCTCTGGCACCTACAAAAGTAGGCAATTTTAGGCAAATATTAAAACTTGGAAGAAACACATTTCTGTCTGGCAATTTTAGGCAAATATTAAAACTTGGAAGAAAGTTTCCTCTCTGACAATTTTAGGCAAATATTAAAATATGGAAGAAACACAGTTCTGTCTGACAATTTTAGGCACATATTAAAACTTGGAAGAAACACAGTTCTGTCTGACAATTTTAGGCAAATATTAAAATATGGAAGAAACACATTCCTGTCTGGCAATTTTAGGCAAATATTAAAACTTGGAAGAAACACATTGCTGTCTGAAAATTTTAGGCAAATATTAAAACTTGGAAGAAACACATTTCTGTCTGACAATTTTAGGCAAATATTAAAACTTGGAAGAAACACATTTCTGTCTGACAATTTTAGGCAAATATTAAAACTTGGAAGAAACACATTTCTGTCTGACAATTTTAGGCAAATATTAAAACTTGGAAGAAAGTTTCCTCTCTGACAATTTTAGGCAAATATTAAAATATGGAAGAAACACAGTTCTGTCTGACAATTTTAGGCACATATTAAAACTTGGAGGAAACACAGTTCTGTCTGACAATTTTAGGCAAATATTAAAACTTGGAAGAAACACATTTCTGTCTGACAATTTTAGGCAAGTATCTCAATAAAAGTCATATAATTTTTTGACATTTAAAAAATGTAGGTCAGAGGTTGGTAACAACAGATGTCACGTGTGTACAATTTTGACGTAATACAGAACTTCCGCCCAGGATAATTATAGACTAGACAATTGTCTATGTGAACATCTACTTAGGGGGTGTCGGCCACGGATTATGTTTGAAAAACTGAATGACGTAATTGGTGGCCTACGGGCAACGAGGCAGTTGGAGCTAATTTAGTTGATTGAGGGGAGGGGGGTCTCACCATAGTTGGGAGGGGGGTCACACCGTAGTTCAGTGTTGGGGGTCTCAACAAAGTTGGGAGGGGGGGGGGTCTCCCCCAAGGTGATAGGTGGGGTTCTCACCAAAGTTGGGAGGGGGGTCTCACACTAGTTGGGAGGGGGGTCTCACACAAGTTGGGAGGGGGGTCTCACACAAGTTGGGAGGGGGGTCTCACACAAGTTGGGAGGGGGGTCTCACACAAGTTGGAAGGGGGTCTCACCAAAGTTGGGAGGGGGGTCTCACCATTCTGTGCTCTGGTAACTTCCTCCTCTCCTTGACGTGTCGCATCAGTCTCAGTCCAGCAACCAGGCTACACGTGACCCCCAGCACCACGCCCCCTGACCCCAAGATCACGAAGTCTGTCACGTGATTCACGCTGCCATTCACGAGCAAGAACACCCCGCCACTCACAAGAAACATCCCTACCAGTGACGTCAGGGTAAAGGCCAGCCATGTATCTAAAGCTTCTCGGTCAGTTTTACCCGCGTTTGTTGCGTTGTGGGATTTAACTTGACCAGAAACATCTGCGCGGCACCTGTGCAACAGGGCGTCCTGCTCGTGGCGGGGTGTCTGGCAACGTTTGGCAGGTTTCATCCTGTGACCCCCAGACTGTCCATGGGGACAGTCCTGCACCCTCTAACCTTGACCTAGTTCACAGCAGTTGACCTATCGACACGAGACCTGAAACTATAATAAAACAAACATTTATTTTAAAAACTTGAAAGTGTGAGCGGGTGAATGGTTTATTGTATTATTATATTATTTTGTGAATGTTCAACTGGACATCGGCTACGGGGTTTCACTTCTGGCCAAGCAACTATAAGGCCGAGTGACCACTGCGGTCGTTCCTTTTTTTTTTTTTACCTGAGCCAGGATCTAAATCTGATCAGAGCGGGTCAGTTTTGTCAGGGCTTACAGTTGCAACAAGCTTTAAATAACCTGAAAATAAGAAAATAAAACAAATATTTAAAATTTTTTTTATAGCAACAAGCTTTAAATAACCTGAAAATAAGAAAATAAAACAAATATTTAAAAAAACCTTTATAGCAACAAGCTTTAAATAACCTGAAAATAAGAAAATAAAACAAATATTTAAAAAAAAAACCTTTATAGCAACAAGCTTTAAATAACCTGAAAATAAGAAAATAAAACAAATATTAAAATTTTTTTTATAGCAACAAGCTTTAAATAACTTGAAAATAAGAAAATAAAACAAATATTTAAAAAAAAAACTTTATAGCAACAAGCTTTAAATAACCTGAAAATAAGAAAATAAAACAAATATTAAAAAAAACTTTATAACAACAAGCTTTAAATAACCTGAAAATAAGAAAATAAAACAAATATTTAAAAAACCTTTATAGCAACAAGCTTTAAATGGCCTGAAAATAAGAAAATAAAATTGCTTTAAATTAATCAAAGCTTTCGTTGCTAAAAATGTAAAAGATCATATGAGCGACCAAAGCTTTTATTAAAGAAAGCAAATTATTTTTATTTTCTTAATTTCAGGGCATTTAAAAGCGTGTTGCTATAAAGATTTTTTATATTTGTTTTATTTTTACTTTTTGGTGATTCCTAACTTATGATTAAAAACTTTAATATTACCTCCCCCCCCCCCCCCCCCCATAACCTTCACTAGATTGTAAATATTCTCATGAACCAGACTGTTGCTGATATCGAATATAGTAATCTATCGAGTGATTTAATTTTGATATCTCCATTTAGTTTCGAACCTGTTTAATTAATTTTTAATGACTAATTAAACATCTAATTAAATTTTAAAATTAGATGTGCTCAATGTTTTTGTTGTTGTGACAGTACGCACAGGTACGGCGTACCAGCACCTTTTTCAATGTGGGGAGAAAACTCGTAATTTTCTTGTAACATTTGTTACTGTAAACTATAGTTTAATTGACCGTTGAAATGAAGATAAAGTCAAGTGCATTAAAATTAAGGTTTTAACTTAATTTAAAGTTTATTTGACAGAAAATTAGTAACAATTAGTAGATCTAGATCTAAATATTAACAATGAAGTCGAGTGTAGTAATTAATCTATTATTAAGAAACGGGAAAATAACTTGCAGAATATTTACGACAAATATAGGATTCTAGGTTTTAGATCTAGGCCTAGTAAAGTAAGACAATCAGTAGCGTAGCCAGGATCGTCTCATGGGGGGGGGGGGGGGGTTGGTTCAATTTTTTACCCGGGGACAAACTTAATTTGCACTCCCCTTCAAACTTTCGATTTACATCCCCCTTATACTTTATATATATACCGAGGGGTCTATGGGGGGGGGGGGGGGTTATGACCCCCCCCCCCCCTTAACCTGCCTGCCTACGCCACTGAAGACGATTATATCTACAAAAGTAGCAAGAATGACTCGAACAGTTAAGTAGCAGCAACAATTAGCACATGCACTTAAAATAATTAGATTTACAAAATATACAAAATAAGTAGCAAAACAGTAATTAAAATGCAACTAAAACCATGCACATTTTAAACATCATGTATTTAAAATATGGCGCCAAATAAAATATGGTTTACGCTACAATACTTCCGGTGGATTCCGGAACGGCTTGACAGACTACGCCGTGGTTATGTTTTTATTAACACGTTTTTCTTAACTCAGCTTCGCGTTTATTTGCTTGTTTGTGGGTTTGTTGTTAAAATTGACAACGAAAATTAGCCCACTTCTGATTGCTCTAGACATCTGAAATTTGGCATGCAAGCTATTTTCGCCTAACAATTTCAGATGCAATCATAAAAACTAGCAATTAGAGACCTAAATTAGCTTAATTAAATTTCGCCCCAAGGACCATAAAATTGAGGACATGATTTCTAAAGATACCGAAAAGACTGGAGGCCTATTGACACAGTTACTTCGGCCCCAATCGATGTGAGCGCGCTGGCCGTGATCGTATAGTGGTTAGTACTTCGCGTTGTGGCCGCGACAACCCAGGTTCGAATCCTGGTCACGGCATGTAGGCTTAATTAAATTACGCCCCTTTTCTGTTTAAAGCGTATCGGTCGCTCAAGATTTTAAGTCATACTTAATCAAGTCATTAGATAAAGTAGAAAATAAATTATATAAAAAACTTTTTAAAATCCACGTTTTTCATGTGTAGCAACGGACTAAAAAGGAGAAAATAAAATACTTAAAAAAAACTTTTAAAAAAAAACACGTTTTTCTTGTGGACTAAAAAGTAGAAAATAAATTTTTCTTCCGACCCTAGGGGATCTACCAATGACTGCTCGTAGATTTTGTTCATACATTTGATGACAAAAAACGTAGGTCGGGCAGATGGGTCGGGAAATTTGATGGTGAACGTACCCACGTTTTTTGTCATCAAATGTATTTTTTTTACTTCTGTACAATAAACGACGCTATATCGTGAGATTACCTTTTTCTGGACCTAAGTTTCTACAGAAGGTTGTCAGTTTATTAAACCAGTCGACTTTTCCTCTCTCCTACATCGAACTAGATCTATCAGCTATGTGAGGGTTTGAACATCGAACTAGATCTATCAGCTATGTGAGGGTTTGAACATCGAACTAGATCTATCAGCTATGTGAGGGGTTTGAACATCGAACTAGATCTATCAGCTGTGTGAGGGTTTGAACATCGAACTAGATCTATCAGCTATGTGAGGGTTTGAACATCGAACTAGATCTATCAGCTATGTGAGGGTTTGTTTCAGTTTTGGGGAAGATTTCCGGGAATTTCCTGTGGCGTTTTTTTCTTTCTTGCAAAATAAACGGATGCGCATTTTAAAAAGTAATTAATTCAAGTCTCAATAATCTTTCGCGAATATGTCAAGGAGATTTTAAACTAGTTGTTCTCGAATATTCTTATAAAACACTACGGGGGATGGCAACTTGGGATATGGATATGATTTTTTATCAATTTCTTAATACTTAAACTTTTAAAAATATAATAGAATCTCGTAGATAAAAAAGAAAACGCACGCCAACGGAACGGCAAACAATATGTGTTTAATAGTGCGGAATATGGGTACTTTATAAATTCATAAAAGTTTTTTGAGA